CACTGCACACATCACTACCAAGAGAGTGCAGCGTAAGAGTCTACTGCCTGCTGGTCGATCTGACCTTGCTTGCGGACGTTAAAGGAACCAACGAGAAATTTAACTAGGTTTGATGGAAGAGCTACGTGTGTCGACCGCAGCAGTTGCGAGATCAGCGGCAGTCTCTTGCTCAATAGACGGGAAAGAGGAGTGATAAATACAAAAAGAGGGAGTATTGTCGTCGGGGTTGAGGGCAAATGATTCTCTCCGGCTGCCCATTCCAAGAGAGGGGTTTTGTTAGAGGAGCCATACCTCTAACCTTTGACAACATTGTGACTCACAAGACAATGCGGTACATGGCGATTCGTTTGAGGTACTTCACCAAGAGCGTTGGACTAAATAACCTGATCCTCAAGGCAGTGGGGAGCATGTCCAGCTAGGGAGTATGATTTCAGAGTCCCATTGGGACCTGCTTGATGCCTGACACACACAATTTTTGATGATTTGGAACAGTACACACATGTTTTACTACCGTATTGTGTTACGCAGGTGCGAACACGGCCACCTGCAGGTGGTGTTGGTTTGCGGATTAATACCAATTTTACCAACTGTTGCCTGGCTTAACGCGAGCAAACTGTTGAACACCGGGTGGTACCCTCCCACCCTCAGAGATAATGCGTTGCATTCCTGCTCTGCGGCAATCGAGCTGTAAGCTTATAACCCCTAGATCTGTTATCTCCCATGGCTAGGTTTTAAAGGAAGAGGGCTATCAACTTCTCCCTAACCTTGGAAAAGGATTGGATAGTAAGCCTAAGTTATTCGTCTGACTCCTAATCATTGACCTGTCTGGTATGAGTGGCTCTGAAAGCCATTAGAAAGCGACACCCAGCGCAGCTCAATGGGTCACGGTGGTATGCAAACCATCGCACCACGTTTAGGTCTAGTCTCCTTGCGATGCCAAATGATGAGACTATTTTACAGGGCCTATTCTGGGTTGCTCAGGTCGCCCCAAACAGCAAGACAATATCCTTCACGTAATCAACATCAGCTGGATCATCACCAGGTAGCACCTCAACGCTTGCATCTCGTGATTCCGCAAGGGAATACGACAATGTTCACGACAATGTTTAACATAAATGAGAATGACCACCGCCATTTTTGTTGTGGAGATATCTGACTAATCACAGTGAACCCTGACGCGACCTATCTTATTTTAGTATATAGCACGTAAAGTGTTCCTATATTTCATTGGAACACTTTTTTGCACAAACTTCTCGAGCAGAGTGCGTCGATCGACTGAGTCGAACACAATCCTGAAGTCCAGGAACACAGCTATTGTCTGTCTGCGGTATTCGTGGCGCTGCTCTAACCCCCGCCGCAAAGTGAATATGTGGTCTATACAGCCCCGTGCTGGGCGGATACCTACCTCCTCTGTGCTAACCTGAAGAGACCGCGAATCTTGGTGGTCTCATCATGCGTCAGCGATGGAAGTGGCCGCTGCCGTTGGTAACTATCGAAAGTTATTCCGTCTGATACGAGAAACGGGCAGCACTAGACCTGATGTTAGTGAAATTATTCGTGACGAAAGTGGACAGCCTATCTACAACTTGTCAAAACGCTTGGAGCGTTGGGCTGAGCACTTTACAAAGCAATGTAATCCATCGGCATTGTCAGATTTCTCGCCAGCCACTGATCACCCTGCTCCGTTGGCTGTCCTTTTTTGGATCTGCCCTTTCGCTCATAAGTGGAACTTGAGATCGGACTACTGGGGTTGGATAAGGCAGCAGGACCAGATAATCTTCTTCTAGTCCACTTCAGATTCGAGGGCCGTGCTCTTGTTGATAATTTACACGAGTGATCAGTGCACCTGTGGGAGTAGGAATCTGTCCCAACCCACGGGAGCCGCTCCGTTATAGTCCCAGTTTTCGAAGGAGACTCACGATCGTAATGCGGCAACCATAAAGGAATCAGTCTGATCTCCATCGTCTCCAAATTACTTGCCTCTGTCATCCTTCACAGACTGACTGGCACTCATGAAACCCAAATTCGTGAAGAGGACGTCGGCTTTCTTGGAGGTCGGGATGACACCAACCACATGTTCACTTTCCGTCAATTGTTGGAGCACCGTCACATATGTTGGCGGCCTACCGTTGTCTTGTTCCCCAATATCAGTAGTGTCTTCGCTTCGGTGAACCGATGTGCCTTTTGGGACTGTCTACTCAGGGAATGTGTGCCCAATAAATATGTAAACCTTATCCGAGCGCTATACGCGCTTGTCTAGGATAGTGTGAGGGCTTAGGCAAGCTGTCGCCGCCCTTCAATATCTCCAGCGGTATGATTCAGGGATGTCCACTGTCACCTTTCCTCTTCAATTTCGTCATTGACGAAGTCCTGGAAGCAACGTCCGCTGGACACGACCTTGAAGGTGTGGTGAGCGATTTCTTAACTTGGAGCATGTGGACGACATTGCTGTAATCTTTGACAGCGCCCAAAGGAGCCAAGCGGCACTGGACAGATTAGTATTGGCTGTCAGCAGTTTCGAACAATGCTTTACACTTTCCAACTGCAAAGATTTCCTCCAATTTTGGCAGGGATCGCCTCCTGCGCTGACGCTTGGTGGAGCTCTGCTAGAAGTCGTTCAAAAATTCTACTACCTGTGGAGTTGTAACAGCGCCCTTGGTATCGACGATGTGATCACGAACCGTATTGCAAGGTTCGGTGCCCTTTTGCTAATTTCCGCCATCTGTGGCGCAGGCGCGACATCACTCTCGCCCTGATTGGCAGAGTTTACAGTGCAGCCGTATGTCTGGTCCTGCTGTATGGTTGGGAAAGCTGGCCCATTTGATCAGCAGACATAAAGAGGCTAGTTACCTTCGACCATTGGTGACTTCGTAGTTTAGCTCACATTTGGTAGGAACACCGCGGGAGCAGCGAACGTGTTCGACGTCCTTTTTATAGCACACGAAAAGGAACTGAACCGCTCAGCACCGTTATTTCACGCACCACGCTCCAATGACTGGGCCAAAAGTTGGGCATGCCAGCCCACCGACTCTCGCGACGTGCCTTGTTTGCGCGTCACTGGTGTGAATGGAAGAAGAGTGGCCAAGCGATGACTAGGTCGAGAGCAATGCAGGTCCATTTTTCTACTTTAGCCTCGGTTGGAGCCTATCCGCTCTCTGGTTAGGTTCTGTAAAACGCTAAACAGCTTATGTTGGATACACTTGCTGACATGGCAAGGAGCCGACCACAGTGGCGTTCGTATTGTGAGTTTCTTTGTCCCTCATCTGTCTTAGCCTTCCCCTCCAACCGCGATCTCATTTTTTAGCATATTTTTTGCATAATGATTTTTTTGGCTTCACAGTAGCTGCTTGCCGTTACTGGGAGCTCAGCTGGCATACACCTGCTGTGTATCTTTCCTTTTCTCATGTACTACAGCGCAGTAGCTGAGGTGTTTTCCATCTCTACCTGAGGTGTATAATGATACTAATGTTCATCTTCCCTAATCCGGGATTCCCGTTCCGCAGTGTGGTTGTGAACTACAATCGAGGCCAGTAATTTTGTTACCACGGGCGTTAGACCAATGACCATGTACATAGCACAGTCGGTGCGACTGCCCTTCTTGTACATTGCCCCTATTATCGATTCACTCCTGTCAGCCGCTATGGTCTCCTTCCAGACCCGTTCGAACAAGGTCAGTGCTTTGCGGAGGACATCACCACCATCCTTAAATAGAGCGGATGCGAAGGAATCCGGACCAGCAACACGACCCGTTTAATGACTGATAGCGTTCCGGACTTCAGCCTCCGATCTAGCCTCTAAACTAACCGCCTATGGCTCATCCTGCATCACCTGAGTAGGAAGAGGTCCAGAAGCAGAGGGAAAACTGAACTGCTCTTGAATGTGCTCCGTCCGACATGCCATACGCGCTCCTTATTGTGAATCAGTGCCCCCGCGCTATCTCTGACTGTCTCACTGACGCCTGCTTTTCTGGGATTAGTGATGCGGACCAGTTGGAAAAGCTTTCGATAACTACCTACTGCTCCTGCCTCCTCCGTTTCTTGGGCCATACTGGTTCATCAGGCTTTCTTGTCAGCATGCAGGCTTCGCTTTCGTTCGTACCTAATAGTTCGCTAGTTACTTTGTGCTCAGAGCTAGCCGGTAGTTTTCCTCTGAATTTTAACAGGTTCATCAATCTCCCGGATATGACGTGACTGGTGTAGTGAGAATTGATGGTGCTGCAAGCACACTCCCGCATCGTGTATGGCGGCGGAGATCCTATTCCACTGAAGCTCAGTATCATTAGGATGAGAGAGCGTAAGTTCGGTACATAGGACATCCTGGTAACCTTGCTTGACCGAGAGTTGAGATAACTTCTCCGGGAAGCGCTTGGGTTAAATGCATGCAAGCCGTCATGTCTTTGATTCATCTCTCCGGCCATTTTTATGTGCATTCTCACCGAGACTTCTCTACGCTACGCTGCAGTGGGATACTACACGCTACGGAACAACGCTTTGACGATGTCACCTCAATTGGTGACGAAGCGTTTGTAGCATAAGTACCAAGTTCAACCAACTTTTTGACCGCCATCTGAACAACCTGAGCTGCCCGTTTTCATTCCTATGGTGATTGAATCGCTCAATCTTGCCCCGTTCTGGTATGGTCTAAACTACAATAAGCTATCACCGCCTCAATTCATTTTTCTTTTTTGGATCATTTTTATATGCAATTAAGTTGGCCACTTCGGCCAGTTCGCCGTTTAGATTGCACTCGCAATCTCAATGTTGGTCGTGCGACTCGATGTCTTAGTGAGGAAGTTGTCAACCCGGTTATGGATTGCACTGTTGGGAGTTAGCGACACCGAAACCGTCTAACTGACTGGCTTGTTTGATCTAAATTGCCTTTTTGTTAAACACCTGGCACCATCTCTGCTTTCTACAGGTAATATTTAGCCCAAGTTTCCGCTTTAGATCTCATTTTCACCAGCTGCTTCGGCTTACTTCGCTCTGTTTATTTTTCTTCAGAAAATTTGACAAAGGTCCTCTTTTGGCGACGATACCGTGAGGACTTGATCATGTGCCTCCGTCAAGGCATCTACCTTTCTCGCAAAGATGTCGAACTTCGAAAGGTGAGTGGAAGTTATCTGTCTCTCAGCTGCATCTCATCCTTATTTGTCTGTCATCATGCGGTATTTCGGTGAGGACAGATGGACACTTGAGTTACCATCGTTACTGTGAAACACTTTTTCTCATCTAATTTTGTCCTACTGTCCTAACTGAGTATTAAAACATTATCACAGCATAGTATAAGGGATGCGCGCCTAATCACGAGCGCTTGCCTCTCCATCTGTTGAATGTAATAAAACTTGTTGTCGCGTACCAATTTGTCGGACGATTTCATCGAACTGAATCACTTATTTATTGTCCCCGTGTTTTTTTTTACTTTTCGACTTTTTCCGATAGCATGGCATTCGTGTCAGTACACATCAATAATAGTAATGATAATTGTCCACACTCACCAAATTCACATTCTTGATCTTTTTGTACAAGATACAAATGTGAGCCACCAGGGAGCACTGTTCTATTGTTGCCTTGGACTTTTTGGATTTGGTCAAGGCACTACTAGCAAACTTTGGTCCTAAGCTGATGTCCACGATCTGCAGTGCACTTCGGTGCAAATTGAAACCATCTCACTGTTTCCCAATCGCTGGCCAGTTGAGAGGTGCTTGCTAGATATTGCTTAGCATAGTGGGGAGCGATGTACAAGCTTACGTATGTTCGTGAAGTCTGACCATCAGCGTCGGGATATTGTGCTGCCTTCAGCAGTCGTCGAGAATATGTGCCCAAGTGGGCGGCTTTATTGTGTATAAGTTGTCTTTCCTACAGCACACCTCCGTCAAGCTACACACACCCATACTCAGTATATCAACAGAAATCTCATAGGTCACTGTTGCGTCGTACATTTTTGGTCGCAAAGCTGTAACTCTTCTGTTTGGCGGCATCCTGTTCCGTATTTGAATGTCAATGCGGCCTCCATGGGAACAGTCACAGGAAGCCTTTGCCTACGGAAAGGACCATGGGTGGCTTGCGCTGCACTGCTCACAGCTCCCTTCACACACCCCATATCCAGTGTAAACCTGAAGCAATAAGACCGGGAGGCATGTGGATGGGAGCCACGTTTCATCGATGAAGCTGGCCTTCACTCCTTTAGCATGCACAGCAGCAGCCTCCTTTCGATCTATGAATCGCTTATTTCTTGCGAGCACTAATTTCAGACACAGCACCCGCCAGAGGATGACTTGGCGCCCACCAGCCTCGAACCAGCTATGGACGCAAATCGATCACATTGCTATCAGTTACCGATGGAGAGGCTGCGTCCAGAACTGTCGCTCGATTTGGAGCACAGGTGTGGACACCGACCAGGCACTTGTGTGTGCTGACCTGCGGATGCGTTTTGGCGGACGCTCACGACGACGTTGTGAGCGCATTGACATCAGCGAACCGGCAAAACCAATCGTAGTTAATGCCTATCAAAGTACGCTGTCATGCGAGTTGGATAAACGCTCACTGGATGCAATTGAAGCTCACTGGTCTCATATTCATCAGACCTTACTAGCAGCAGGCAAATCCTCATGTGGTATGTCTAATCGCCAACATGAACATTGGGTCTCTTCACAGTCTTTGAAACTTATAGATGCTCGCCGGCATACTCCGGCTGAAAGCGAACACAATGAAATTCGCAAAGAGCTCCAGGCAAAACTGCGTGCTAGCCTGAAGAGAGACCGCGAATCCTGGTGGTCTCATCGTGCAACAGAGATGGAAATGGCCCCTGTTCTTGGTAACCACCGTAAGTTATTCCGTCTGATACGGGGACCGGGCAGCAGAAGACCTGGTGTTAGTGAAACAATTTGTGACGAGAGTGGACAGCCTATCCAAAACTTATCGAGACGCTTAGAGCGTTGGGCTGAGCACTTTGAAAGGCAATTTAATCGGTCGGAATTGTTAGATTTCTCGCCGGCTACCGATCGCCTCGCTCCCTGGGCTGTCCCTTTGGATCCCTTCTCTCGCTCGGAAGTCGAACATGAGATCGGACTGTTGAAGTTAAATAAAGCCGCGGGACCTGATGATCTTCCTCCAGCCCTCTTCGAATTCGGGGGACCTGCTCTTGTGGATGATTTACACGAGATACTAGTCAAACTTTGGGATCAGGAACTGTCCCAACCGATTGGAGCCGCTCTGTCATAGTCCCAATTTTCAATGGAGGCTCACGATCGGAATGCGGCAGCCATAGAGGAATCAGTCTGATCTCCATCGCCTTCAAATTGCTTGCCTCTGTCATCCTTCACAGACTGACTGGCACTCGTGGAAGCCAGATTCGTGAAGAGCAAGCTGGATTTCGTCGAGGTCGTGGCTGCATTGACCACATCTTCACCTTGCGTCAGTTGTTGGAGCACCCTCACACATATTGGCGGCCCACCATTGTCGTGTTCCTCGATATCAAAGTTGCATTTGATTCTGTGGATAGACATGCACTTTGGGACTGTCTACTCAGTAAAAGTGTACCTGAGAAATATGTGAATATTATCCGAGTATTATATGCGCGTTACTAGGGCAGCGTGAGGGCTTAGGGCAAGTTGTCGTCGCCCTTTAATATCTCCACTGGTGTGAGACAAGGATGCCCGCTGTCATCTTTCCTCTTCAACTTCGCTGTTGACGAAGTCATGGAGAATGCGTTTACAGGACGTGACTTAGATGGTGTGGAGCTACTCCCAGGAGAACGACTTCTTGCTGATGATATTGCCGTAACCTGTGACAACTCCCAGACGTGCCAAGCGGCAATGGACAGATTAGCACTAGCTGTCCGTCACTTCGGGCTTTGCTTCGCACCCTCCAAGTGCAAAGCGTTTCTCCAAGATTGGTCTGGACCGCCTCCTTCGCTGACCCTTGGTGGGGATCAGCTAGAAGTCGTTCAAAAATTCAACTACCTGGGAAGTTGTATCAGCGCCCGTGGGATTGACGATGAGATCACGAACCGTATAGCAAAAGCTTGAGGCGCTTTTGCTTACTTTCGCCACTTATGGTTGCGGCGCGACATTACTCTCGCCCTGAAGGGTAGAGTGTACAATGCAGCGGTACGTTCGACCCTATTGTACGGTTGTGAAACCTGGCCGCTTAAGGCAGCGGACCTGAAGAGGCTATTTACGTTCGACCACCGGTGTTTTCGCAATTTAGCTCACATCTGGTGGAAAAACCGCGTGAGCAACGAGCGTGTTCGACGCCTTGTTTATGGCACAGGAAAAGGAAATGAACCGCTCAGGACCGTTAATTCACGCATCAGGCTCTGATGGCTCGGTCACGTGTTACGCATGCCAGCCCACCGACTCTCGCGACGTGCGTTGTTTGCGCACCGGGGGTGTGGAAGGAAGAAGAGGAGAGGTGGCCAAGCGATGACTTGGTCTCGAGGAGTGAAGGCCCTCACTTCTGAGCTGGCCTCGGTTGGAGCGTCTCGGCTCCCTGGTTGGGGTCTGAAAGACGATGAACACTTTTGGTTGGACACACTTGCTGATATAGCTAGGAGCCGACCTCAGTGGCGTTCCTGCTGTGAGTTTCTTTGTCTCACCCCTCCCCTCTTAGCCTCCCCCTCCAACCACGACCTCATTATTTAGCCTTATATAATTTTGCATAGTAATTTTTTTGATGCACGGCTGGTAGCTTACCGGAACGATGCCCGTCCGTTACCGGTAGCTCAGCCAGCTTGCACCAACTGCATTTTTTCTCCTTTTTCTATGTATTGCGGCACAGTAGCTGAGGTGTATGATGATGAAGGAATCAGGAGTACCAGACGTACACAAGGCGGTGGCTGGGCCGTTGTCCGCCCCACACTGGACGGAACCACTCTTCCTGGCTAGCACGGCCACGAGGACCGTGCACCCCGTCCCCCCTAGCAACGATTCACAGTTTCCTGGAGCCTGTGATCGAGGTGATGGGCGTTTGACTGGTAGGCATATTGTCAACATTCACATCAGGCGCAAGCACACCGGGGGTATCAAGCAACCAACACAGAACTTGAAAGTGACCAAATACGCAAAATTGACACAGAGTGTGCAGCGGAATAAGAGAAATGAGCAAATGAAATAAAATGGAATACGTTTCATCCGGTTTAAAAAGATCTAGGTGTAAGTCGTTGTAGCTCAACTGCGATTAAGAAGCCTGGTGTATGCAACATCAACCACAGCATGACGCATTGACTCGCCTATACCAATGTGTTTATACACGCTTTCGTCGTCAACCGGCTTAGTACCTGCATTGAGTCTGAATCCCTGCAAGACGGATTGGAAACCGTGGCTGGAACTGTCACAGATCAGCTGCTGAGCAACGAACAGAACAACCTTTCTAATCATGTTCTGTCTGCAACATGGCCGCTGCTCCAATCAAATTTCCAGAAGCCATCCTACGTCGCAGTTTACCTCACCGCGGCCAACAGAGGTCGCTCGTGTATCCTTAATGCCCAGGGAGGCAACCAATCCAGGTGCAGCGTGGCTACAAACACCTGAAAATTTCTAAATGGTTTGCTCCGTAGCCGACGGCATCCATTTTTTGATTTGCTCGAAACTCACTACCTGCTGACAAACGACTTCCTACTACGCACTGAAGGTTTCTCTGTGGTTGGTTGCGAAATGTCTGCAATCAAATTGCTCAGGTCAGAGAACCAATCAGTATTTCAGCTTGCCATTATTTGGTTGTGATCAGTCTGGTATTTAGGCTGCTTTTCCACTGTTTGTTTATGCATCCCGAACGAGATCGTTCTATGATCAGGGTGGATGATGTGCTAATTGCGTTTCCTTTGGCTTCCTTATGAAATGCCCTGGTGAAGTGCTCTGAGTGATGTTCGTTTCCCCGGTGGTGTAAGGGGTCGCCGCATTGATGCACCTTAGTTACGTCCGGGCGGCACATTGATATCACATACTGTGCTATCTCTTGCTGCCACGATCTTAGGCACTCCTTGGATTGCTGTCAGGATCCTCTTACTTTCCGTCATATTGTTTGACTGGATCTCGGTCTCAGCACGTTTAGCTAGACAACAACAGCGCCGTCACTTGTTACTGAACCATCATGTTTTCATTTTCTCTTAAAATCCGCTTTTCACAGACTGGCCCATAGTTGCAGAAGGGACTCATCGCTATACACAAGGTTATAACTTCGAATTCTAATTAATCCTTTGGAGAAGTGTACATCCCAACTTTCTGTTCCCACCTATTTCGCATCTTCATTGTACAAAATACAGTCCTAAACTGTTACTTGTTGACTTGTTCAGTCCAACTAACATGTCGGTGAAACGGCAAGTTTGACCATTGATATAGCAACATGAGGAAGTTGACGGTCAGGGTGGTACACCGTTTTCCTACACAGGACGCTTGAGATTTACCAATTTAGTGGTTCGAAATCTTTTCAGAAATAACACCACCATGAAGTCAGTAGTTTTCCAACGGTTAACCGACTAAATCGATTTATTCTACTTATTATTTCTTTTTCATTATTCACTTTTCTATGCACCGTACTTTGTGGCCTTTTTCATACTTCCCATCACTGTCTCATTTTGTTATCCTGATGACTCCGATCGGAATTGCTGAATCAAGTTGAATTTAATTCATCGACTTTTTTATCACGCAACTGATAACCACTACCATCTTTCTCAGCTACTTCACATCCACTAAATTGTGTTGTATAGCGTCCATGATCGACCAGAATTGCATGGGTTCTTTTTGCTTCCCATTTATCTTAGCACCGCCAGCTCGCTTGAGATTATTCGACTCTTTTGGTCCACATCAAACAATCTAACCATCTCATCTTTTGATTGGGCGTAATGTTTCTCCAACAATGGTGACACATAGCCCTCTTCACTATTTGTTAATTATCTCGCCGCAGAACGGAACTTTGCAGTTCTCTTGTCTTTTGTATACACCTTTCCCTTTACCGTTTTTTTTCTCTCCATCAGTTCACTGCATCACTAATCGACAGCCTTGTTCAGATCTTGGCCACCTGTGCGGATGTCAGTCAACCACACTGTAGTCCCAATGTGAATCTGGGTTACAGCGTCCTGATGGCTCTGGCTCGATGTTTCCAGGACCTGTTGAACAATCAGGCGTACAAGAATCTAGTGAACGCGTATTTACAAGCTCCCAGCTTCGATTATCCTACAGTGTATTATCCCTACCTGCGTTTGTTGAATTCCATATTATCCGACATTCTGTCATCCGACGCTGCCGGCATCGGGGACGCAGGTGATGACCAGGCTCTGATGCGTCCCCCACAGCTGAGATGTGGCGCCTCGCTCATCGACAACAAAGCAATCCAAATGATCTTCGGCCGAATGCACTGGGCGTTTCGTCTTATCGTTCGCTCACGTGTAAGTCATCTTCTCTGTGGTCCAAGGGTTTTTTCTGTGCTTTATTATTACTCTCGTGCGTCGTTTTACGTGGTCTCTCGACTCTTGGAAGACCACAACAAATTTTGCTTGTTCATCAGCACCTTCTACTCGTCCAACTTAAAGCCTTTCATAAATTGCGGCGATTTGTATCGCCCACGTCACTTGTCGTTTTTGACTGATTTTCCTTCTGTACTCTCGGCTACACTCTTGTCTTTTATGTACAGCTGGCTGGACTAATCCTGCACTGTGCCTCTAACCCAACCCTATTTGTCGTTAAACACTTCACCAGCCTTCGATTGTCTGTTGGCTTGACCTATATCATGTTCACATGTCTTTTAATATTCTTCTCTCCATACGATTTCCCTTTGCCACATACTAACACATAGACTCTTTCTCCTGTGGAACCAAGTCCGATCGCATTTCTGTGTTGCATATGCTCTTGGTATATTCCCTCAACTTGGTCTACTTCCCCCTAATTTATTCACTGATCGGATTCCTCATGATCTACAGGCAGGCAGCTTAGAGCGACTTGCCTGTCACGTGTATAGACGGTTTCCGTTGGCATTCGCATCTTTCGTCTTTTTTCAATTTGGCTTTTCATTTAGAATGACATTGTTTCTTCCATGTTCGCACATTTTGCTCATTGGCGCGCAACTTAACATTTGCACCACTGACGAACACCGGAGCGGTTAGTGCTATGAGGGTTACGGCTATCAAACTGTCCATCGTCGGCCAAACGTACGAGGCGTTCGCCTTGTAATCCACCTGTAGCCGGTTCGAATCTTGATATGCGCGGACGAGCACGAGGTATCTGTAGTCCGCAAGTGACTGGTGGTGGTGTTGATCGCATGGCAGAAAAGCGTGGGCGCGGTGCATCTGCGTACTGATGATGCTTTTCTTTCGTTCTTACTCATCGTACAGTGGCTGCGTCCTAGAACATGTCACTTGAGGTGTAAACTCAGCAGTTTACTTCGGCTGCAGATAACGCAATCAGCTCGGGAAGCCAGCCAACACCAAATCGGCAACACATTACCCTCGAGGCGGGTTCATTTGAGTCTCTTTATTTAGATAAAATAACAAACCACTTGTATGACCCCGTGTAAGGCTTCCCACATGTGTATATGGGCAAAGCTACGAGTGAACTACGCACGAGAATTTTAGGCGACGCAAGCCACCGAGGCTGAGTACAGACCTCTGTTTGAGATTCGGTGTTCATGGTGCATGCATGGGGCATGCGGTCGACTGCGAATCTCGGTAACTTGCGAGTAACCCACTAAAGACTAATTGATGTGGCCGTGAAAATCATTGAAGTCAGAAGCTTCTTGAATAGAACAGATGACGTAGGGCTGTCGCATGCCTGGCGTTCAGTCACTCTCTGGCCAATTCGGGGAGCTTCATTGGACGTATCGGTACTTAACATGGACTATTGACAAAACCGTGACCACCGAGATCTTAGACCACTACCCACTTTTTACATCATCTAATGTTCTTTCACTTGCCGACTTAAGATGATTACCCGGTATACACCTGCAATTGTTCTTTGACTGACCTCTGTTTTTTGCGTACTTTACCCGCATTGGAATGTCACAACTTTAAGCTAGTTCACTTGGCCTGGAGAAATTTGCGTATCGAAATTAGGACGTCACCCAGCCAGTGCGCTGACCGGTTCTCCACATATTCTTGTGGAATGATAATCTTCTCGGTCCCAAGCGTATTCCAAGATACCGAGCGCCTTCGGCACTTTATCGCATTCTTGCGGGTATCTCCATTACAGAGATCGACGACATATGATTACCTATCTTGCGGTCACGCATTCGGTCGATCTCAGTTTCCCTTCTGTGTGGAACTACCCCTTGTTTAGTTCCATTATTCCTACACCGCGAATTATTTATGATTTACTGAGCTACCGCGCCCCGCACAGCACCGTTTGCTTCCGATGGGACCACGGATTCCACTAATGACTAATTGGCCAGCAGCTGTTTGATACCATGTTAGACCATCATCTTCATTGGAACAGCCATTGTTAGTTGGGTCACGCTCTTAGTTAGCTTGCTAGCCGTCTTACTCAAATTCTATTCACTACCCCTGCACCTAGTTGGATGAAGCCTCTGAATCGCCGCCTGACTACCTTAAGGTGCTGGGTTCGCCCATCGACCCGTACAGTCTAAAAGACTCATTTCGACTCATTGACGACCTTGATGCGATCAACCTGTCAGACAAGACCATATGTTCCCTGAATGTGGAATCTCTCTTCACTAATGTCCTACTACATGAGACTGTGGATTATGTGTGCGAACTAGCTGAACGCTCCAGCACACTTGCACGCTCTACGCATTTCCGATTGGCTACTCAATGCGACTTTGTATGTCCACTTTAAATGTTTCATGGTCAGTCGGTGGTGGGACAGCCAGTGCCCCTTCGCCGAAGTGATTCTAGATGGTTTGCACTCAGCCCAGAGGGATATTGCATACATACGCGCACGCACTCTAATGGCCTCAGCTCTAGACTGCCAGCAGAGTTGGAACTCTAGTCTAACTCCATACTTCACGTCTAACAATCCCTACCCAACCCGGAACTGAGTGAGAGTGATCGGGACTTGGTGTTTTCTTGCTATGAACATCGTCTAAGTTTTGGTTTCTAGTGGTTTTATGTTTCCTTCTGAAACCCAAGCTTTTGCTCCTGTTCCTGCGCCATCTTTCTTCGAACTACAATCTAGTAGGAAAAATCCTACTTTTCTGTTCGTCGAATGTTTGGACACTTCATGTCATGCATCTTTTCTCTTCACCGACTCCGTTCATTTATACCAAATTTCTACTTTCTCCCTCGTACTTTCAGCAACTCGAACTGGAACGTGCATCAGAGGGTAATGCGGCGTGCCCAGTGGATAGCAGCCCCTTTGTGCGCCAAATGGATCTATTCTTTTCCCAAGTCATCAAGATCATCTCATGCAGTGATAACGAATCGTTACGTGTACGTTTTAGCTGCACTAAAGTTGTCCACTCTACCTTTAATGTGATTTCTTGCTTCGCCACCTTTGTTTCGCAGTACTGAGCCATTGTCACCTCCATCAACTTCACAGTTGGATACCGTTTTTGAACTGCAAACGAAGCTTCTGTGTTCAGTCCACCTCGCTGCTGCATTGTTATTGGCTTAACTTCCGTTCACGTTAGACTGTGCGCACGCACTCTTGTACACGACCGATGTTATTTTGGGGTTCAAAGACATGGCTACCGATCGCTACCCATCGGTGTCCGAATACTTTTGCTTGCGTCTTGACGGGATCGCAGTAGGTAGCACTGTCAAAGCGCTTTGGGGTTCGGCGGCGAAGCTACCTAAGCTTCTTTGGAATCTACGATGAATTTGAGCGCACCCCCTCTTCTGCGATGCATCAATTATCTGTACTGAGGCTTCGCTGTCCCACGGCCATAAATGTATTTCGGTTGAGATTCTATCAACTGCAGGCGTGAGACCAAACCCTCACTATATCCTCTGATTCAAGGTTTAACGGTAGAGCAGGAAAAGGTCTGAAAAAGTCTACAAAAATTTGTGTTTTCATGTACCATTGAACTTCATACCAATTTCAACATTCCTCAGGGTCAACTATGCAGTTAGGTTTGTACATCCTCTTATTTTAAGACGTATCACAGCCGAACCAAAGCTGTCTCCACCAAGACAGCCGCTTCACTCGTTATGGGCTTGTTCAATGCCACAAACACTCATCCCCTTCATCCTTGATCAAATGACGACTGTCTTCAAATCGATTGCCCTAGATTATATACAGACTTCAATTGAAGTCAAGTTAAGCTTTATTCATCCGGGTGGGCGCATTTTCTATAATTGACACTGACGGTATGATCATATTATAACATAGCATCGATAGGAAAATGATGTGCAATGACACGAATAACAAAAGGAGTTCATTTTCAAGCGAGAAAACGTTCTCACAATTGTTGCATCATCGCTCTTGCATCAAGTAAGAAGCGAGACAGTTAAAGCAAGATAGAGTTGGAATACGAAGAGGTACGAGAAAATAAAATTTTAAAATTAGGCCCTGTGGAAGAACTGGATGTCGTATTTGCTAAATAAGTGTGTAGAGAAGGAAAGAAGTGGTTTGGAATCTTGGATGAAAACTTATAGTATGCGTCAATATGCTTGCTAACCAAGAAATCAACGAAAAATTTTCTGCTTCATCCAGTGCATCGGGAAATAACTTTTTATGGTCGCATAAGAAAAGTACGGTCCTTTTGAAGAAACCCGGAGAGAGTAACAGGGAAACGACGCAACCAATGGGGGGGGGGGGGAATACATGCATTCACAAGAATTAGAACATGCGGTACAGAAGGCATTTAGAGTCTGATGGAGTAAAAGGATAGTCTTCTAACTTTCTGAAAAGTTTCTAGTGAGTCAACCAGAATAAATTGTGGGACGAAAACCGGAATACTTTACGGAACATGAAGGAGGGATACCTTGGTCACTCACAAGCAAAGGAGCAGAGGTGTTTGAAAAGTACACCGTCTGTTGGAGCAGCGAAAAGAGAATGCGATATCACAGCATTTAGAAGGATTAAGTGAGAGAGCGAGAGCAAGCGGCAGCCTGACTAAGTCATGTGCTCATCTAATCCTCTTGAGTTTCGAAGATCCCTCAACTATTGGGGTTATACACCCTAGGATGACTTATTTACACCCTGAGAAACTGGTTGGTATGGTCAGACACTCAACATAGATGGAAAACAGAAAGGGGAATAGAATAATTCCCTGTAAAACCCCTCTTGTCTGGGATAACGGAAGATCTTCTGCCGTATAATTGCTTGAAGTGTGTGAGATTCGTAATGTAGTTACGCATAACATTACATTTGTAACGGGGAATGCCGCTTTTGAACAAAAGATTTACTAGTCGTCTATCAAGACTGCCAAAGGCGTTAGTACAATCAAGGAACAAAAGCCTCCCAGTCTGGGATTTTTTTTTCCAGAGCGGATTCACTGGGATGCACAAGATACGAAACATCATTCAATGTAGAGCAAACTGCTCGATATCACTCTTATCATTGCTTGTAAACATTTGGTACGTTAGTAGTTTTTTGAGCACCTTCAGCGACTCCTGGGTGTGCACGCTATTGGCGATACTTCCTTGACTCCTTCTTAAGCACATGTGTCATTCTGGCTGCTTTTCAGATCTCGGGGATAGTGCCAGTCGTCAAACGTCGATTGCAAATCTCTGTCCGAGGTGACTGTAATCCATCCACACACTCTTTCAAAGTGATTGGGGACAGAGAATTAGGCTCACTAGCTTTGTTTGGCCTCGTCTTGTGTGTTCCCTGTAAACACTGATGTGGTCAAACAAGCTGCGAGGGTCATTGAAGGGGAAGAAAGGTAGGGGGGGACGTATTTGGTGCTGACGAGCTAATGGAATTTTTGTCGGTAAATTGCTTCAGGAGCCTCCACAATTCGCGGCAATTGTGGTTTCCTAAAACGGCTTTAACGCATAGGCTGTTCCACCTTTCTTGTCTCAGGCAGACATTTGACTCGTGCCGAGAGCCTGTAGTTGTAAGCCTGTTCTTTTTTTCCATGCAGTTACGGAGACGAAATTTGTCATTCCGAAGATAGTTATTGTTCTCCGTATGCTGACAGCTCCTCATATACGAAAAGTCAGTAAAGCGTCGATTTGAACGTTGCAGTGTTTTCCTCTGCACAGTTTCGCCGCTTAACAGTTCCGAAAATTCCTTCACATCGCCACGAAGCCTTACAGTAACTTTTCGGGCACAACTTCACAATACAATGTTGCGAGTTGCTAAGCTTGACGTATGTTTGTGTGGAAAACAGGTTATGTTTATAGTGCCTGAGGAAAACTAAGGGAGATTATTTGCACTCTTGTTAGCAACAGCGCAGTGTACTGCCTGGCGGAGAAATTCCGCTAGATCCCTCCAGAATAAGGGTGATCTGAGTGCTGCGGCCAGGTTCTTCTTTATCTGTCACTGTTTTCCATCGAACTAATGGAACAAACATATAAAACCTTGCAACGGTTGCACCATTTTACTCATGTGCTTCGCATTCCTACTCACTTCCTATGGCGACTTGTCGTTTTTTATGTGTGGTCCCTGCTTGGACGAAACTACACGGTATACAATGGACCGCATGTGAGCTAAAAGTTCGCGCCGCGCTTTCCTGTACCATCGCCATGTGGTCTATCGGATTTAGCATTGCCATTTGTCATTAATCCTTTTTTCGACTTGGTTCACTTGCATTCTCTAATCCTCCTCCCTAAGAACAGATCTTTTTCTGTTTTTCGTCTGATTTTGTTTTTATTCTATCTCTGTCTCACTTGTTCTGGTTCGTTGTTATCAACTTTATTCGTAGGTACCTCGATCAAAGCAGCTGAACACATCTCATTCAGGTGTTCAGACTACTACTGGTTAACCGGACTGGATTGCTGAATTTTTCCATACGCACATTTTCTTTTCAATCATTTCCATCACTGACACCTACGTGCGTGGACACTAACTCCGGCGTTTGCCGCAGCACAGCGCAATGAATCCTACTGACGTCTATTTCTCTCAACCAGTCCACGAAACGTGACCGGCACGACACCCACATTCTCTGTGAATCTGGAAACCTTGACTGTCCCCATGACTGTGCTCTCTGCCCCAGCATTTTTCGTTTGTTCTGAGCTACAGTCACCACAGACTAGTGCCTTAGTTAGAGGTACTTCGGTTGCTTTTACGGAATCCCGACGCCATCGTCCACAAAAGCCTTATTACCGTCTTTGCAGTCACACAGTAATCTTTTTCAACTGCTGCCTTAACACTCCGCCGCGGCTACCTTATCCTCTTTCAGTCGAATCTGTTGAAGAGCGTCCCGGAAATTCTGAAAGACATATCGACCGTCTATCCGCTCGAACGACTGGCCTCTTCGGTGGTCACGTTGATCGAAACAACTTTGGAATGCTCTGGTCTGCGAAATCACAAAATCCTCATGGAAACGATTCAGTCACCTTTGTTCGAGTCCTCGGAGTCTCGCGCGATCCTGATGCCAGCGGTACACCGTAGCATGACTACCTTTTTCTCAGATTGTCTAAACAAGGTGCGTCTGAGTTTTCTTGCATTTCAGTCCGCTTTCGCAGTTCTATTCGCCTTCACCTGATGTGCTGTGATCATGCTTGTTCTTTATCGTAATGATCGAACCTACTGTTTTATTGTTACTATGGCCTTTGGATTTCTGATCAACTCCATATTGACGTGCGTTTGTGGACGCTTTTCCGTCATCTTAGATGAGATAAGCAATAATTTTGTTTCATGCTTTTGATGGCGTATTCCCTGTTTTCGACGTGCGTACAAAGTTCACTTTCTGCCAAATTAGTTTTCTGATTAAAATCTGGTCATTTGCATGTAATAAATTTGGACCGCTCACATCTTCACATCCTGTTTCAGGAAGCTGTGGCTTTTCTGATAGCACAATAAAACAGTGAGCGTCGCAATTAAGATACATTTACCAGCTAGTCTTTAGGCGGCAAAGCTTTTCAAGACACCTTTCTCAAAACGTTACCTTTCATATTTGCATGGCCTAATTGTAAGGAATGCCTGTTTTGCTAACTTGGATTGTTGGAAGCTAACGTTCAGATTACAAGAGCGTTGCCAATAACCATTTTGTCATTAGTTGGGATAACATTAAGCACCTATTGAACACTCCTTGCTCAGGTCAGTTAGGTGTGTCCAAGTGCCACCACAACTCTACCGCAGTAGCCCGGTAATGATGCACTGCTGTCTTGATTTTGCACGCCTGTATTTGTTCCAACGAGCCCGAACCACGATATGTATCGGTCGGCAAACCTGCCCTGTGGCGTGCCGTGGTTGTCTTCAACTCATCCATCCGCGTGCATCCAGCGTTTTCACGATGGACAAGACTGGCAAGTACACCTGTACCCAGGTGCACTTGCCTACGGCCATCACTCCGGTTGTTCACACACGTGACCGTGTGTGAGACATTTTGAGATAGCCCAATATTGATCATTGGACGGTTGGCAATTTAGTGCGCTCCCCTCTCACCCGAAGGCGTGACACTTGGTCCACGAGTAACAAGAGTAAAAATGGACAAGACTTCCGGGACTAATCACACCATGCTTTTCCCTGACTGTGCCTTTAGGGGCCGTTGCCTCCAGCTTGTTACGAGATTGATCTATCCGTGTTATCCACCGATTTTCCCTTCACTCCACATTTGGACTACTCTCTCGGCCAGGGACCCTATCAAGACTCAGCGTCTGACTCGACTGGTGATTTGCATCGCCTGTTTATCGGATGCATATTTGCAATCGGACCCATTGTGCTGAATTACGAATGGTATTTCAGGTCACGCGTGCACTGCCTACGTCACATGAACGAGGGCAGATTCGTTCCTATCGTGTAATAGTTGCGCTTTTTCTCATCAGTTGCCATGACTATCTTGGCATCGGTTGTGGCTCCGGATTACTTCTTGCCGTTGCTATCAACCCAACTACAATTTAAAACATGTCATATGAAATTGCTTCGGTGATGTTCACCAACTCTGCAAGAGTAGTTTGGTTACATACATTCTCTTCTGATTGTCTGGAATTCAATAACTCCCATGGATTCAATTGCAACATCTTATTTGTTCGCAGTCACGTAATCAACCGGACTCAATGTGCTTACCGATGAGAACTCGTTTACCTTGACTCTATCAGTTCAGCTCATTTGATCAGCTATTTTCTATGCACCGAAAGGTCGTGGATCCTTCTAGCTTGATTCACCTCTCTAGAATGTGACACTAACCAATGAACAGCTAAGAAGGCAGACAAAGCGTATATCGGCTTACGCGTTACTACAGTGTAAAAGACACGGTGGTGACCCTCTCACGCCGGAGCAACAACCTAGCCTAGACCGCCAACTTACATGGAACGTTATGAGCAGTTTAATCTACGTACTGTTGGAGGAGTGTGGTAAAAAGATTTGGGTGGTATAACTTGAAACCAATCACGTGTAAGCAGACACTACCTCTCAAGAAAAGCAATGGACAGTCGTTTCTTCCTTTAGTGAATCTTTAGCACTGTACATTCTGTCTGTCTTTTGTGGGGCTACATTCCGCAACCCTGCTCTTATACGTCCGTGTTCAAAATCACTACTGGGCAACGGTGAACGGAAACGGCCGACATCACTGTTTCTAGATGTAATTTGGCGCAGCTCACTCTCCGCCGATTTGCACATCACCGCATTTCTTCCCCCTTCTACTCCGTTGTTCAATGTTCATCGTCGTCAGACGCAATGGTTACGGATCAGAAATCAGGTGACCTCCCAGCTGTTATCATCGATACGTGTAGCTCTTCCATCAAACTTAGTTTCGTTTCACATTGGTTCCTTCGATGTCCACACTCTGGGTCAGATCGGCCAGTAGACAACGCTAACTCTCACTCCACACTCTGATGTCTGCTGTGTCTCCAAAACATATACACGATAACGGCGTCGTGACGAATCTTCAACTTCCTGGTTCTGAATCTGACGACGATAGCCACTCTCTTCGCGGCTGTGCTAATACTGAATCAATGGCTCGAGTTACGGTGTTGGTATCGATCTCAGCAAACACATAGAAGGTAACTTACTCGACTAGATACCGTTGGACAGCTGCATGTGTGCGGTTCGACTTCGAACCTCTATTGCGGTTAATAAGCACCGTATGAAAACAAGGTGTGTTGTCATCGCCTCCGTTTATGTTCCTACTGATTGCAGTTCGTAGGGTACCAAAGATGATCACTACTATCAGCTTTCATCTTTCCTACGCGCGGTGAAAGACACTGACATTATGATTGTTGCTGGTGACATGAATGCCCAAGTGGGTCGTCTTTCAGGCTCCGAACAGCCCCTGGGAGGCCGCTTCGGAGTCGATGCACGCCGTACAGACAATGGTGATGGAATCCTGCAACTGTGCGCCGACCACAACCTTTACCCTAGCAGCACTAGTTTCTAGTACAAACGTTCATACCGCGTCACCTGGCGCCCACCGAATTCCTTAATGACTTGGGCCCAAATTGACGATATTGCCATCAGCTACAGATGGCGTACATCAGTCCGAGACTGTTGGTCAATTTGGGGCACATGCCTGGATTCCGATCATGCGCACACGCTTGGCGCTCACACTTCTGGCTTCAAAGAATCGCCCACCATCTAATCTTACTTGTAACTTGAATTCAGTCTGCAATTCAACAATATCATAACGAACTGGCCCACCAATTGTCAGTGATGAATGAGGTTGGTGAGTCGAGCGCTGATTGCGGTCGTCTCAAGTGTGTGATGAGGAGTGCCTTTGACACTTGCTGTGCACCCGACTTGAGACTTCGTAACTGTGAATAGATCTCCGATGCATCGATCAGTTTGATCGACGTGTGTTCCGATGGGCACTGAGTTTCAACTCATCTGTAACTCCCTGAAGCGACGTCTGACAAGAAGTCTTCGAGTGGACCGGGAAACTTGGCGGGGCGGGGCAAGGGCCCGTGGGATGTAGAAAATCAATGCTATTAGGAACAACAGGGTGTTATTCCAGCTCATCCGGAAATGCCATCAGTTACTCAGACAGTGCCTGCAAAAGACGGGCAATTGATACATTCTCAGCCTCGACTGTAAGAGCGCGTTTGACTCAGTCGATCGAGCCAGCCTGTTCGAGTTACTTGTGTGGAAAGGTGTTCCCATGAAATATGTGGACATTTTACATGCCCTGTACTCGAACTCGGCAAACCGCGTCAGGGTCTACACAGACTTAGCGGATATCTTCATGTTCATAAGTTGCGTTCGTCAGGGTTTCTCAATTTTTTTTCAGTTTTGTTGTGGAGTCCATCATGGATGGTTCCTTTGCGCCATATTACGATGCAGGCGTTGAGTTGCGTGACGAAAAGTTAGTCGATCCTAAGTATGCGGACAATATAGTCTTGTTGTGTATTGATGTTGTGGTGGCCCAACAGACCCTGGCTAATCTCGCTACGTTGGTCTCATGATTTGGCATGCGCTTCGCACCGTCAATGTGCAGAGTTCTTACAGGACCGCCATCTCCTTGATTACCAGCTGATCCTTGCATGTGAGGAACTCGAAGTAGTTGATCAATTCACTTACCTTCGCAGCTGGCACCTAAGCACGGAAGTTAGTTAACGTATTGCAAAGGTTAGGCCTGCCTTCTTGAATTTGCGACATCTTTGGTGTCAAAAAGGTGATTTCTTCCGTTTGAAAAACCGTGTTTACGAGGGCATAGTGATGGCCGCTCTACTCTGTGGTAGTGAGGCTTGGTCCCTTCGATCTGTGGACCCGCGGCGCCTCCAAGTCTTTCATCATCGTTGTTGCGAGGAATTTCAGGTAACGGATGGCACCTGCATGTCCACAACGGTAATGTGCATAGGCGAGTGCTAGACAGTAATAATAAGGCTATTTCCTTACAACAGTAGAATGTACTGAACAAGTTGCGTTGGTTTGGGCAAGTACTGCCTATGCCCGGTCACCGCCTACGAGGAGGGGCCATGTTTTGTATTTCGGACGTAGTGTAGGGCAAGGATTGAGGTGGACAAAAGTTGCTAACGAGAAATGAAGTCAGGGACTGTAAAGCTGTGTTATTGGTCCGTATCGCATCTCAGGCTAGAGTCCAGGTGACCTTACTCGTGGTTCACTCGAGACGATACAGTACACGAGTCGCTGTTGGCACCAGCGGTGCGTTTACTTCTCTCTCCTAGTCGAACTCTCTGTTCAGCTTGTGTTTGATACTGAGTTATCTGTGGGGTAATGGCTGATTACCACGGCAGTGTTCCACCAGTCCTCATTACAAACGGATGCAAGAACGGACATTTTATTAACTTCTTGGTGTGTTAACAAATATAACTGACATTTAGCCTATGGACGAAAGCTTTTTGCGCTAATTTTTCTTCGGATAACCGAGATCCCTATACTTTTGTTCTAAATAACGACTTCAAAATTTGTATCTAGGGAATAAATTTCTGTTTTCGGCCGTAATTTCATGTTGCTTGCTGTGGGAGCGCAGCATATATGCTTGTTAAATGGTTTACAGCCAAATGCACCCCCACTTTTAAGTTGACAACCGTTCATTCATTCAAAACTTCCGCTTTTACGATTTTTCATTTACCGCATTAGAGCACTTATTTGCGTCCACACACCAGTGCTTTCTCTTATTTTGGTGCATAATGAACCATTTTAATGGTAGAAATTCCATAAAATAACCTATAATTATTTGTCATTTACAGGGAATTGGACATCAAACTTTTCTACAAAGGGAATTAATATTTTTCAGCTACCATTTGAATTTAATTTTTGCTCTACAGACTAGTGGAACCCTAACGATTATAACATGGGACAGTGAAAGCCGCAGTAAAGATGTCTCATTGGTGTCGCCTTTGCGCGATAGCCAGCTGCTGTTGTCAGTGTATTGTTGACACTCTAGAACAGCAGAACCCTAGAACAACAGATAACACTGAATAAGTTGCGTTGGCTCGGGCACATAGTATGTATGCCTGGTCACCGCTTACTTAGGAGGGCCTTGTTTTGTCTGCCAGGTGTAAGGTGACGCAATGCTCGAGGCGGAAAGAAGTTGACTTGGCAGCTGGAAATGAAGTTACTGACGACCAAACTGGATGCCGTTGGTCCGTCTGGTCTTCCGGACTGGAGTCCACGTGACTCGCCTTGTGTTTGGCTCGAGACAGAACATGGCTCGCAACCGACACCAGTGGCGCGTCTGTTGCCGTCTCCTAATCGGATTGCCTGCTTAAAGGGCATTTGGTGCTGAGTTATCTGCAGGGTAATGGCTGATTATGAAGCGGTGCAGTGAAAGCCGCAAGGAAGCTGTCTCGCCGATGCCGCCTTATCTTTGCACGATAGCCAGCTGTTTGTGACGGTATGTTGTCTACACAAGGTGTAGGCGCCTTGACCCGGAATGTGTGCTTAGGTCATCAAGGTTTCCGGGTAATTCCCTTTTCTCTCCCTCTTCTTATTCTTTATTTCATAGGTCCTCATGGTTGTATGGCAGCGAAGTATGAGTTCAAATAGCTGCTGTTGATGATGATGATGACACATTTTAGTCGACTTGACCCTGAATATTTTGTTAAGGTTTTTAGGTTTTAAGCTAGAGTTCCCTTCTTTCCCTTTTATTATCATTCTTCATTCTGTAGATCGCGTGATTTTTACAGTAACATAGTATCAGTGCAAATATCTGTTGTACTGTTAATGATGATGATGACGACGATGACGATGATGATAATGATGATGATGATCATTCACTGATTTCATCCATTTGCGGAAATGGGAACGCTAACGACTAGAAGCGGAAATCAATGTCTTTTTCATCGGAAAATGTTGTTGTAAAGACCAACCACATCATTGGAAGCACACTAGCAGACAAAGCCAATAAGGACCATGCAGCATTGTGAACCAATCGATGCGCACATTGTTAGGAAGGAGATACCGATAGCATCCGAATAGAACTGTATTCCACAGCCATAAACCGCGACAGTAAACAACCAATGGGGCAAACGAAATGACACGTTAAGGAAGCGTCAATGAATGCGCACGACGAGACGATTAGTTGGAAGTTGTGAGCATCTATTTAAGTATTCCAGCATTTTTGCCGCGTCTCTAACACTCCACCGTCTATGGTCCTTGCGCCATTTACCTAGATCCACGGCTCGATTTTTTGTTTGTTTTTATTTCTCATGCTTCTTGCCACGACGTGCACTCGTAGCGCGTGCGTTGGATTGATAAATGGTTCGGATTTGAGCACTGTTTGTTGGCGACTCGCTTACCTGAGCCATCTTAATGTGTCCCTCTGTTAATCGCCAATCAAATACATAACGACTGTGTGCAGTGTTTCCTTTTAATTCTTCTGGCTTGTTGGTTCAGATCTCTGTTAACTCCTTTTCGTGTTGCTGTGCGGCATTATTGATTTTATTTTCTTGTCTCCCGATTCTTCAGGAGTTGGTCTCCGGTCGTGTGGAAACCGACTTACGCATGGATTTCTGGTGCGACACTCTGCTCACCTTTGTTAGCCGAATGGTCCACACGTCTGGCTGTGTTGGCACAGCTGCCACAGTTGCTGCTGAAGCAAGCCAATCGACCGATGCAGACGTCACCCTGCGTTTCGACGCGCCTACTGGCGAAACATCCGCCGAAATGTTTGATCTACTCGTCACTAAGGGTTTCCTGCGCTGGACCATGCAACAACTAGCCTCTGCATTCCTATTTATCCAGAATGAAGAGTTAAACTCAAGGTCTTCCGGACTATCGGAGGACCAGTGGACGGCACGCCACAAAATCCCTTGCCACCGGGAACATGCGTGCACAGCTGGCGGCGGCATTGGTGGCTCCAAGATGTGCCCCTTGAATCGCGCCATTTGTGCAGCAAACAGATTGCAGCCAATTCTGGTCAGTCTTCTCAGTGGTGTACCCTTGAACACCTTCATCATAACAGTGCTTCTGCCATACACATGTTTCTATGGTAATTATTTACGCGTAAGATTGTATCTGTTTCGTTGCCTTATTGTGCCCGTTCTATGTCTATATACTAGAGTGTTGCTTACTGTTCATCTTTTGCTATGTCCGATCCGGTGCGTGGTTTATTTTCACCTCGGCATTACTCCTTACCTCTATCAGATAGTAATACGTAATGGACTTGTTGTTTGACAAGGTTCGTCGCAGCTACACAGGCACCACACATCCATGAAAACGCTCAATTGTCGTTTCGTCCTCTTGTGACTCATTGGTAGGGCGCATCCGCCGGATTCGAACCCGACCTTACTGGTACCAATCAGCGACACATGTCACTGAGCCATGGGTACCGGCGACGGATCAGTATGATCGATTTCTCACTGCGATATAACGCGGCTCACCCTACACTATCATGCATGCTATGTACGTGCAGATGGCAGTGCTGCCATCTGGAGCTGCGACCACGTGACCTAACTCACTAACTCTTAAGAGTTAGATCATGGATTTAGATCTGGCGTACTTGCGCTACCGACGAGTCCCAATAGGATGGATCGACGGTCTCGCGCTTTTTCGGATGTCTGTTGGTTGTCTAACTGCGTCTATTTTCGACGAATCTTCACAAAAACATATTTCTTCTCAGCTGTATTCATCGTCTACTCGAATTATCCTTTAACTTGCTCCCTTGTTTTCCCTCCAAGTTCTTTGGTTCTTGCACAGTGTGTTCTGTTCTTCAATTTCACGAATCATTAGGTTAATGTTGTCTGATTTGTGTCTCAATCCTCATTACTGCGGATGCGTCCTGTTCGCTTGTCGCAAAATCGAAGTTACCTCCCTGATCCATGATCATGTTAACCCATTGCACGTTGTCCTTGTCCAGTAGTGCCGGTTATCTTCAACGATGTAGCGCACAGATGAGTATTTGACGACGGAGAACAAACAAATGAACCAGTGCGATTGAATGGATTGCTCGTACTCACTTACGGTTTACCGATGATAGCGCTTTCATTTGCCTACCTGATGGCGGATAGCGGATGAAACAGCAGTCCTCCACCTGATGAAATGAAATATCCGACTACTGGATTGATTCTGTGTTGATCCATCTTCCCTCCAGGGTTGGGATTCGCACGTCTCTTCCGCATACTTAACTGAGGATATTATGCATTGTTACACTATCTTGCTCAGCAGTGTCATGATTTCTATCCTCTTTTAGTCGAGTTACCTGTTTACGCTACTTGTTGTGCCGTGTTACTTGCGATGTATGGCTGATATCGATTCGACGTAGCCGTTGCAGCTATACTGTCTTTTCAGTGCTTCCACACTTTCAAATGATTCTCTGTTGTTTAAGGCCGTACGAATTCGAAAGATGTAATCATTTTACTCCTAATTCCGAACAGGAAAATCAGTAGACGTAGATTTCGAAATGCCGTCGCCATTTCGTGCATTCTTATCAGTCACCAAAACATACAGCAACGATGTGCAAATGAACAAGGAACAATGTCAAATAGATCATAAATAGCTCCGGATTTGTGCTACCAGTGTAGTCAGCTGTTTTTGAATACATAGCGGTGGTCGCACGCGATCGATAACCAGGGCATCCAATAGCCTAAGCATGTGACGCCGCCCATCGCGCAACAAGACAGTGAAGGACTCATCAGGATTGACACGGTGGCCAGTGGTAAGCAAGTGCTTTGTGACTGCCGAGGCAGCTCGGTATCCCGATTCAACCGATTCCGTTGTTACAGACGCCATTCGGCTGCGTAAACACTAATGGATGTGTTCATTGACTGACATCTAAACTTCGGTTAGTATGCCTACCGTAGCTACAGTGGAATTTATATAGACAGTGGGACATACATTGCCTAGTCGTCGGTGTGTTAATTAAACACACAAACCATAGGTGTTGTCGATGTGAGCAGCCGCAGTGTCGCCGCATTGTACGCTCTTTTGACTGAAGCCCTGATTCGTTTCTCAGTGACCTTCATAACCTGCTCACTTTTGAAAGGTAGCTCGATGAAGATCGGCCTCTTCGGAACTGTTGGCACACGATCTCGCTTGATTGCTTCACTGACACGCTTACTGAACTTCAACAGGGAACCGTTGGACTTTAGCGTTTTGAAAAGTAAAGCCCTTTCTGCTTCTATCGTGTCAGGTGTGCAGATCATTTGCGCCCGATAGAAGAGTATCCGGATGAGAGAGCGTTTGTGTTGAATATGGAAGAAACTCGTAAAATGCAGATACTGACCAGTCCAGGTCGACTTCCTGTACACAGACCTTCTGAGGGAAACGTCTGTCGCCATGTTCTCAGCAAATCTAACTACGGAAAACAGTTATCTTGCTCATTATCACCTGTCACTGTAAGCTTCGGATGCGTTTTCTTGTGTGTCTTGGTCACATGCTCTATGTCTTCATCCCAATCCGTAATTAGCCATGTACGTCCCACTGTCTATATAAATTCACCTGTAGCTACGTTGGGCATACTAACCGAAGTTTAGATGTCAGTCAATGAACACATCCATTAGTGGTTACGCAGCCGAATGGCGTCTGTAACAACGGAATCGGTTGAATCGGCAGTCACAAAGCACTTGCTTACCACTGGCCACCGTGTCAATCCTGATGAGTCCTTCACTGTCCTGCTGCGCGATCGGCGGCCTCACATGCTTAGGCTATTGGATGCCCTGGTTATCGATCGCGTGCGACCACCGCTATGTATTCAAAAACAGCTGACTACCCTGGTAGCGCAAATCCGGAGCTATTTATGATCTATTTGAGTGTTCCTTGTTCATTTGCACATCATTGCTACATTTTTTTGTGACTGATAAGAATGCACGAAGTGGCGACGGCATTTCAAAATCTGCGTCTTCTGATTTTCCTGTTTGCAAGTATAAGGGGAACAACTTAAATTGCTCCTAATTGTTTATCCACTGTATTCCTCACTTGGATCTTGGTCCATCGTTTTTGGTCAGCAGTGTGTCCTTTTAATGTGCTGATGTGCTGCAGCTGAATACTCGCTTGGTTTAACAGTTGGGTCCCACCTTTCATAAAGTCAATTGTTCTCCCAATCTTCGTGCGATTTTTGTCGCCTAATTGGCACCTGCATTTGTTAGCTACAAGCAATTTATTGTCACGTTGCGTTTTCCATCACCGGTATTTTGCATAATTCACATGTTCGCGTATTTTTCATTGTTTGGTTGAATTTCTGGTTTCGTACATCTTGTTTACGCTTCCCCTATCTTCGAACATACCTTTTTACATGAGACAGCGAGTACACTACTGCTACTTCGTCGAATTAGAAAGTAGACATAGGTTGTGACATGTTAACACTTCGATTGTTCTCATCATTCTCAAACGCCATAAAGCAGAACACACGGTTATATATATGGAGCAATTTGGCAAGACCGATCAGCATGTCCTCATCAACACCAGGGCACTCTAATTGAGTGCCTCAAGAGTTTCTGTTCACATAACACGGGTTGATGTGCCCTAACTAGTAGCGCTTCACTGGTTACCCACACTCTCGGATCTCTGTTGCTTAACACTATCTTGAACGCGGTCTCCGGATTCATATGATCACATTTCATCATGAGATGCTTGGTGATAGTTGAACTCGGACTGCGAATCATTTTTCGATATGTTCCGGTTTGTTGTATCATTGATTGTCCCAATCGACAGTCAGCTCCGGCTGTTCAAACATCACCACAACTGCAGGTGAACTGACCAGAAACTTGAGAGACTGACCCGGCCGATGATCTACTCTGACGGTCACGAAGGACAAACCTTCGCGTAGTGTGCATCATTCGCAACTGGGCGAACGTGTAGGTACGCTTGTGTCGGACATCATGTACTGCATTGTCTCTCTTGAACGGCAAAAACAATCCTTATTTCTGCCGTTACGCCCCCCCCCTGTGACACCTCCTGGATCATAGCTGGCGCGTCTCAGCGGCCGAGTTGATAGAGTCTCACATCAATGTTGATCGTGCCCCACATTCAGATTTTATCTCTTAACCCATTCGGAAATGCCTCAGAATGAGTTCCCAGTAACTTCACCACCATTGTGGTGAACGCTGCCCACCACTCTTTGAATTAGGGACGAATACCTACATTGTTATCTTTTATTCGAGTCGCTGTCCCGATCTCTCTCTCTCTCTACTGGATATGTGCAAACGAGTACCCAATCCATCTACAACTATAGTGATTCCAGTGGGCAACATATAACATTTATCCATTTGGGACGTGTTTATTTTTGGGGGAAACGTTTACAAACAAACCGAAATCTACGGCTTCTTGACCAATCATTGTAGTCGGCTTCTTATCCTAGATGTTTGTGCAATTCTGTGAATACTTGATAAATATGAAACCCGCACGGTTCTATGGGAACAAGACTTGTTGGCGCCTGCCGAAGAGATGAGACATCCAGATGAAGTAAATTGTTGTCATGACATGAGGCTGACTCAGTCGTACCTCTCTGTCACTGAGCCTCGATCGTGCCAGTGCTCGCTCACAGTATGATGCTTTGATAGTCGCTATGAGCACCTACGTGGTCTCGATCTTCTTTGCGGATGTTCGTGCATCTTCTAATTTCACAATTTTCGCTTCATTTGTTATCTCGTTCTGTCTTTCCTTCGTTTTCTTCCAGGGCCACCTGACCAGTTCCTTGTTCACCTTACTCCAGCAGCTGGATCGACCATCATGGATTGCTCTCCTTATGCCCAAGTCCGATACCTCCGAGACTTGCGACACTCCGTCCTGCCAGTGTGGCGTTTGTGCTCGGCTTCAACTGATCGATTTGTACGATTTTTGCCACGAATTCCTCTCTTTACTTTCACTGATGCACGAATATCCAAGCTATCGTTCGCCTTCCCCATGCACTCAGCCATCGGAGAGTCACACACGTCAATGTTGCACGGAAAGCCGCCTCCATCCAATGGATACTCGTTCTGGTGGATGCGACCGGATGTCACACTTTGAAGGCGCTTGGATTGAGATGTTACTCGCAATTTCTAACGCAGAGTTACAAGTGCTACAACTTCTGACGGATTTGGTAATTCAACCTATCTGCATCAGTTCTGCCTCGCCGACCAATCAGGTGAGTTTATCCACCGTTGGTACCACAAACCCTTCCATAGTTGCGCATTAGTACTGCTGTACTTTACACGCAAACACATTGTCTAGTATGTGAGCTCAAAATGAACTGACCCTTCACTTTGACATTCCTCTGGAGTGGTGGGACACAGGTCTCCTGTTCACTTACCAACTAACGAAAACCGTAGGTTGCAGCTTGACTGTGTACTTCTCAGCCTTTGGTAGCATCGCCTCTATCGGCTACTGTCTCATGTCTTACCTGGTGAGTTTAAAAGAATCTGAAATCGTTTTGATAAAATCGAATTAGCCGTCATCCCTATGTGCATCCAACAAACCTCTGAGCTCACTCCTTGTGCCCAGTTTTATACGCCACGCGTTTTTAGACACACTTACTTTTGATTTCACTCTTCATTTACGAAAAACTGTTAAGCGTTTGCTTTTTTCCCTGATAAATCCATTGAACGTACATTCGCTTCTGGTTCCAGACACTTCGGAGCCGATCATTTCCACTGCGCATCTTTACATATTGGTTAAATGTTTCCTTCAAACCCTTTCTCCTGTTGTGTTTTGCGATTCAATTGGTCTGTAGTACTCACCTTTCTCGCCCTTTTCACGTTTTTGAACTCAATCGCTTCCGCTGTCTACACTCTAATAATAATAATATAATGATATAATAATAGTAATAATAAAGCGTGTATTTCTCATGAACCGATAGACTCTGTCTGCAACGGCACCGATCAATATGTACAAAAGTAATCATGCTCTTGCCTGGGCGATATGCATATGTGCAATATTGAGGTGTGAGATCCATATGACAGCGATGTAGTGGATGGTTTGAAAACGTGGGTGCTTAGACGACTTTGGGCCCCTCTTGGAATAGCTCATCGAGAGATTTTTCTCGTGTGAATATAGTCCTTATGATATTTAAGTCAACGTAACTGGAGAATTCGCTACTAGGTGACGCGTCACATTTTCACATGACCCTAGTGTGACTGGCACTTTGTTCCACGGATAGTTATATCTGACCATTGGAGAAGTTTTAGTGTATGCTTGTTCTAGCCTTTGATATATTCTGTGTAAAATCTTTCTTCCTGCGCTCTCGAACTGTGCTATGTTGTAGTTCGAGAGTAGGCAGTGTAATACGTTGAAAAACAGTAACAACTTGTGCTCCGATCGTCGAATCCCGATTGATTCCAGTTGATGTTCATTGCAGTGCTCTCGATAATTCATGGCAAAGTGCTTACCAATCAAATGTTTAGTAAACGACCGTGGCAAGTGTTCCACAACAATTCTATCACTTTTTCGCTTGCTATCGTATATTATGCTGCCGTACTCTAGAATGGGGCGCGTGAGTAGTTTAAAAAACGCAACTCTAGCATGGAATATGTAGATTTTGTTGGTTATATTAACCATAGATTGTCCGGCATGTGCTACTTGGTATTGGGCCTGTTCGGAAACATTGAAGTGCTTAATTCCGAGATCACGCATGGACAGCTGTATTGGGACATCTTCATTGTTTAATACCATATATCTTCCGGGAATGGAACAGCCGTAAGACATGCTGCCTAATTTCTAAGCGGACAGACCCATATCCACATGTACTTTCATGTCTCACAGGATTATAACTTCTCCTGAATGAGAAAAGGCGTTCCGTATGTAGGCTCGAGTAAGCGCGTCAAGATCGTCTTTGTCCGAAATCGAATACAGACATCTTTATCTGGTAGTTCAGAAGCGTGCTCTCCTCTTAGCCACACCCTTTTCTTATGTACTTCCCTCTCACGTACCGACGTTTTACCCACGCTTTCGTGTGTACTTATGCTGGGAGCTCAATTGACTTTTCTTTTTTTCGCTAAGTTACCTAGCATTTCTTGAACATCTGCTCCGTCGTCTGGAAGATATCTGCACTCTTCATATCCACTTCTTGTTACGATTTTAGTTAGCCAGCCAGAAGCACTGCAAGCAGTGAAGCGCTGGTGGCTTGATTATCTTTGCCGCTGTCATCATAGGGGATAAAAATATCATCGGCACGAATAAGTGGCATCAAAAGGTTCACAATGAACTCTTTCACTTCACTGAAGGAACAGATCAGGAGTCGAGAGCCAGTAGCCGAACGTCCAGTTTGTATCCATGTGTTGCTCTATGGATCAGGGGCCTGTCCGTTTCTCAGTGAGGACATTAGACGGTTTTCCGTGTTTGGCCACCGGTGTTTGCGGAGCATTGGTCATGTATAATGGGAACACTCGGGAAGAAACCTGATGGCTTACTGGAGGGCTTTAGCTCACCAGGCTGCGTTGGCTAGGTCATATGCTCCGAATACCTGTCAACCGCATTTCTCGGTATGCATTATGCGCCGTAACTGTACCAAGTTAGCTGAACCCGCAAGGTGATCAAATGATAATGTGGCATTAGTTAATGAAGAAAAAATTAACTGAGAAACTTGGCCGCAATGAGACTGGACCTTACTGTGATGTGATCGTTTGCGTGCCTCTGAGATCCACTGAGCTCTGCTGGGTGGTGCTTCTTTGTACCTTCAGACCCACTCATACCAGATTGGTTGTTGGTTAGAAACCAGACAAACAGTCTCCTGGCTCTCCAGCTTGGGATTTGGAGTGAGGATGGCTCCCTATTACATAAAACGAACTCATTGTAGTCCACTGCCAAACCCGCTTCCTTAAGATCAGGTTTTTAAGCCATAAGCTTTGCTTTAGAACCCTAATCGTTCTCCTGTCTAGGCCTGGGCAACCTGGCAGTATCCTGCCCACGCAATACTATGAATCTTTCCTCGAACAATTTCCTGATGCTCTGGCCGTCGCAGAGGATAATAAACAGCGCCCTATCTCCTGCATCGATTAGGGTGGATAGGGGTTTGGATGCTACTGCTCAAGCCTTCCAGTCTTCTTATTCACCCTCTTAGGCTTTTTCACCATTATGGTCCCGTTCCAACTTCACTTTTATTCACGCGTTTTCAACCCCCGAATTATTGGCCTTCCCTCACCTTGCTTTGATAGGCGGTTAGCTTCTCGTTTCATCTCACATGCAAACTCGGAGCGTCACTCCTGCCCAGTCGACAAGCCCATGTCTAACCAAGCGGACAACGTCAGTTCATCCGTTTCTCTTTGTAGTCCTCAATCCTCGCTAAAACTGACGTTTCTCAGTATACGCCCATTGTTACATATCGGCCAATCCCAGCGGAGGACAGCTTGTCCGACTGCATCTCTTTGTTGCACCATATCTTTTCCAGCGAGACCGCTAGACTAAGCACCGATGGGCGGCGTTGTTTTGCAACGATGGGATGCTTTCTTTAGGTCCTGACCTCTTTTCTTTTCATCTCGACTGTGCTACTTTGCGTCGCGTCTCTTCGATACTGGCAGTTTGTGCCCCCCCATTAGGCGCGTGTGTTTCAGCACAAAATATCAATGTCTGGATTCGTCTGTATTTCTCAGCATTTTTGGACGCTTGGCTCGGAGGAAAGTGTTGTGGGCCCGTCAAATATTCCCGCAAAAACGCGCCAGAAACCCCGGCAGAATGGCTGTGGAAAGCGAGGTCCAATTCCTCCCCACAACGCAGCAGCTCTCAGCCACTCCGAGACGCGGCCCAACTGCGCACCTTTTGACAATGGTCTTTTACAAACTACCACCTCGTCGTGGTAACTGTTTTCTCTAACTTATTAACCCATAGCATTGGCTGTGCTTCGCCCTTTGTTGGTCGTAAAAGAGCCTTCAGAGGACCGCCTGTCTTTCTTTCCTCTTCGCCTTACTTGGGAGTCGGTCGGGTCACGTGATTTTGTGTGCGTCGTTAGCCGGGCAGCGTTCGCGTCTAAGTCACTAGCGCGCGTCTACCGTGACCCCCTCTCGTGTGCGTCCGTTCCGAGGGCTCAGCGTCTACCCGAATACGTGCGGCTAGGATCGTTCTCACGCTCGCTCAATTTCCGTCTCACCAGCGCGTACCCCGGGCTAAGCTAACGCCGTCAGGTCAACGCAAATCCGTTCGGTTTGGCCAGCGTTCCAATCCGTTACCGTAGGCGTACTCCAGTCGTACCAGTGACAATCTTATCAGGCATCTACGCAATCATAACAGAGGCGTTCCCTCAATTATAACAGAAATATTAACCTTTGAGCTCTCGTAGCATCTATTTTGGTGGTTGTTTCCCCAACTGAACTCGGGTAACACTCTGGCCTTCCAATATCCCCTTCAGTTTTTAAAAAATCCATTATTGCTCAAGATTCGTCCATAGTCTCCTAGTCAGACGCAGTTCCATATTAATGAGCACTACGACAATGGCCGCCTAGCTAAGACTGTGTGTGTGTGTGTGTGCGTTTCGCTTTTCTCCCAAACGGTTGATTGCATCACAATTTCATTCGCTATTCGGGCGCACCAAGCCATGCAGACAATTGGCTTCATGTACCACCTCCATGCTCATGTGGGCAACTTCAATCTCAGCATTTGGCCCATCTATCTCGTTGGCCGGGGACGCGTGATCTTCGCTTCTCCTCGTGCATTGGGAGTTCCGTTTGCAATTAAAATGTCTCACATTTGGTATCTTCGCTGTAGCTGCTGACGTCAGTTCTTTGCAACTGTAAGTAATCCCATGTCAACATCCGTTTGGATCCTCCAATCTGTCAGATAATTCAATGCCAAATTATACATTTTGTACTTGACAATGATATGCCTATTTTTCCGGTTCTGTTGGGCTTTTCCTTCGTTGATTAACGCGGCATAAACTCTGATGTTACGAAGTAATGATAACGTGAGGCTTGTGGTTGGCGCTTATTTCATGAAATCCACAGTTCAGATAGGTACGTGAATGAATTGGAATTGTCCTGCATTACCGTGCAGCGTAGCTTTTCTTCTACATAATTTTACCTGACTACAATCTCATCGCCATTGCGATAGATACTAGTGACTGTTGTCTGGGGTCATTCTAACGTGGCCGTTTTAGGACGCGTACTCAAATAGCGATTGCTAGTTAGTCGTACGGCTCATGGTCATTCAAAGTGAAAGCCGTTACCCTGTGGGGTCTTATTTTTGCGTCCCGGTTTCACCTCATCTCAGCAGCTCAAATGACGTGTTTCCTTCGACCCTCTGATATGTACTTCACTTGGTGCCTACATAACCGGCGCATAGCTTAGTGGTAATTATTTTGTCTCGTAATCTTGCGGTGCGGGTTCGAATCGGGTAGGGGTGGGCGTCCTCAGCCCGCGTGCGACAGGTGGTGGTCGCACGGCAGCGAAGCGCCATTACAGCGTACAGCTGACACATTTTTATTGTGTTTTTTTGATGCCTGCATTCAGGACTTTCGTGTTACTCTACTATGCGCCTGGAATGTAGGAACTTCTCTGACCGCCTGCTTGATATTCTTGACCATGATCCTCATACAGTCTTTCTCGCTCACCTTTGCTTCACGATGTCCTTGTCTGGGCACCCGAAATGCCGCCGTCCTGGGCTAGTTCCAGCTTATGGAACATCGTGTTTCAGCCCCCCTGTTTGTTTCCTTAATGTTAAACTTTCTTCAAGATACTTGACCACTGTGAATTCACACATCTCATACTCCTGTGAACGCTCGTTTGCGCGGCCATAGAATCAATGTTCCGCAACATTTGGCGGTTGGATAATAGCGGATATAGTTTGTCTACATGTTGTCTCCTTCTATCATTAGTACTACATCCTGTCCTGTTCGCTGTTGACAAGTGCTTTCCTCCTTCCAATCTTTCTCTTCCTCCGAACAACCACAACCCCTCTGTTCTTCACCACACATACGATCACCCCACAGTCTACATTAACCTCGATCAGCCTCCGGCCAGATCACCCGCTCACCTTCGAGCTGATCAACATGATGCAACAATGTCTGGGCTCATTTGTCGTCAATCAGATACACTTGTGCACCGAATCACTTCCGGCCGTCATTCGCTCTCGAGTGGACCGCAGTTGCCGCGGTCCGGTGATGGATATGCGCCAAGTGGCATGTGACCATTTGGCCTCATTGTGGCGTTCGATTGGTGAGTCCCTCGCAATCCATCCCCAACTTCATCTCTCCCATACACTTATATCATGTCTGACATCGTAATAAATTGTTTCCGCCCTCATCTTTGGTTTACTGTCACTTGCACTAGCGTCATCGGTGAGACTAGACAGAAGCCATTTATTTCCAGCCAGTTACGTCGCAGCACTTCTTCTAATCTACTCTTCCATAGGTCACAAATAATCGCTCAGTGTTCTCAAGCACTCTCACCCATGAGGCCGTACCTTTTCATGGTGTTCCACACTGACCAACTGAAGTATCTACAGTACGCACCAAATTGGCCAGTAGTCATCGTCCAAACGGACATTCCTCCGATATTCTCAGCTTTATAGACTGTCCTTTGAGTAGTGCGCTGTATCATGAAATTGTACTTTGCTTCGCTCACCACTTCCAGATCACTAACTTCTCTTTGCGTTCCTCTGTCTTCGACTACCTGCCTCGTCGTTTAATTTCTCTACTCACTAGGAGTAGCCGTTAGATTACTCCATGTTTTCTCCACGCGGTTATCCAAACTGACGCAGATGGGGACCAGCGTATCTTGTTGATCGGTTACACCAGCACCAGCTGCTGGTCCACCGTACATCATTTTATTATCACGATTCCGGTTCATCAACTAGTGAACTGTCCTCAATCGTCATACTTTGTAAAATCGGCCGCAACTGCTCATGTGCCCTTTGCGCAGTTGTCTCTAGACGGTTCTACTGTTTCAACTCATGTGAGATGATGAAACATGATAGTCGCATATTTCTTCTCACTAAACCATTTCACCAGTCAACCTTGAATGGCCTCTCTAGAGTGGTCCCCTCATTTGACAAGCACTTCGCACTTTCAAAGTGCAGAATGTGATTACATGATCACAAGCCACTTAGTGACCCTTTTCCTCTTGATAGCGAGGAACTCGAGGTAGTTGATCACTGGCAGCTGTATCAGCAACAATGGGTGTGTAGCTACTGAGGTCAGTTCACGTATTGCAAAAGCCAGAACTGTCTTTTTGAATCTGCGACATCTTTGGTAAGAGAAAGGGGTCTCCTTCCGTCTAAAAGACCGTATTTATAGGGCCACAGTGTGCATTATCCTACGCTATGGGTGTGAGACTTGGCCCCTTCGGTCTGATGATCCCAGGCGCCTTCAAATCTTTGATAATCGCTGTCTGCGGATCATTACTGGCGTCAAGTGGCATCAACGTGCGTAGGCGAGTGCTAAGCAGTAATAATAAGTCTATTTCCTTAAAACAGTGGAATGCACTGAACAAGTTGCGTTGGCTTGGGCACCTGCTGCCTATGCCCGGTAACCACTTACCGAGAAGGATCTTGTTTTGTTTGCCACTCTAGGTGGCACAAAACTCGACGTGCTTGAAAGTTAGCTTGGTAGCGGGAAATGAAACCCCACTGGCTACCGAACTTGTTGCCGCTCTTCCGTCTCACCTTCCAGGCTGGGGTCCACGTGACCTAATTTATGCTTGGTTCGTGACGTTAGGAAACATGGCTCAGATTTGACACTTGTGACTTATCTTCTATCGTCTCCTAGTCAGACTGCCTGTTTAACGTGTATTTGGTGCTGAGTTGTTTGGGGGTAGTGCCTGCTTAAGACGCGAGACAGTAACAACCGCAAGAAATCTGTTTCGCTGATCCCGTCTTATCTTTGCCCGATAGCCAGCTGTTTATGACAAGATTTGAGCTCCTTGACCCTGAATTTTTGCTTGACACTAAAGTTTCCTGGTTGATTCTTTCTCTCCCTCTTATTCTTCTTCATTCCGTAAGTCGTTATCGTCGTATGGCAGCGAAGCATCATTTCAAATGCTTGATGCACTGCTGTTGATGGTGTGCGTTATGACGACCTAACCTTACCTATGTTTGCGATACCTTTTCTTAAACTTGGCATAGAGTACTTCTGGTTTTTCTTGCTCTTTCGTAGCAGCATTTTTTGGCAACTCATGCTGATGCTGAGTCGGCACCATCTTTGGAGTTTCCAAAGTCGGCAATCCAGGCACTCGAGGTAACTGTCACTTCTGTGCACACGTCATCAGTCGGTTGTTAACTTCGCTACCAGATGGCTCTTCTTGAACTGATCGGCCATGGAGACGACGAAACACCAACTTACCATTTGAGGGCGAGATGGGTTACATCCACTATCTGCAGCCACTATCTGCAGAAGACACCCGACTACAAGTTGTCTCACAGAATTCCCACTCATCCCATGCTGATCTAACGGATCTTTCTTTTTCCAAAGTATGTATAGTTGGGACAATCGAATTGGCGCCCACTGGTTACAACGGCAGTCCTAAACATCCTGTAGAGTGGCCTGCACAAGAGGACGTTCTAGTTTTAGATTAGTCTGTTTTTTACACTTCGGTTTGTTGCTCTAAGGCCGCTTTACGAGCTATCTTTTTATTTTGTCACAACATAATACAATAGGTATAGTTCTCAAAACTTAAGCACAATCCGGTAACTGTTCGATTTTTGTTACAACCATAGTAACAACAAATATGACAACTGCGTATAATTTTAAGAAAGAACGTACATGGCAACAGCTTAAACACTGGGCGCATTCAGCATTTTCGGAAATGTGCCATAGCAAACTGAAAAGTAGTTTATTTCGTAGACACGCATGCACTCTGGCCAATGGTGTAATGCCCTGATATCACTTACTCTGAAAAACCTTCGGTCGCGAAACTACAATGGGGCAATATCCTTCAAATGATGAACCTCGCATCTGCTATCTGGCAAAGCTGTTTCCATGTCAATGCCTGTCAGTTCCTCCTCCATCTGTTTCCCTGTCTTCTGGATATTTCTCCGTTTCTTTATGAGTGCATCCACCAGACCATCCGAGGCCTTTGTGTCTCAATTCTTCGACGCAAATCAATCTTCGCCTCCATCACGAGTAATCGTTACTTCACAGATACTGTGTTTTGTTTGCAGCTATTATAACTCCTGTCTAATCGTTTCTTCTTCGTGTTAGCTAGGATATTTTATTCTTCCTCGAAGTAATTTGTTCCTCTGTCATTGAATCGCCAACTTTTCTCCTTTGATGCTTTGAAGGTGCTTCTCTACCAACCGAGTAGTTGCCATCTTCACGCCTATCTGCAGCTTTCACTTCAGTTCTGTCGTACGCAGTGTTTGAAACTCACTAATTGTTTCTGCTATACTGCCTTTTCTCTCTTTTTCACGGTAGGCGATCAATACAAAACTTTGTATGTGCCGGCTTTCCTACCCACCTTTATTGATATGACCACCGTCCCAATAGCATGTAAGTGTTTTATCATCTGTTCGCACCATTCTGTGAATGGCATTGATTTTAAAAATACGCCTGTTTACCCAAGTAAGACAGATAACGTTTTTCAAACCCCTCTGCATACCATTTTCCATATATTTCTCCGGCCTTTCACTTTTAAATAAGTGAATACATTTCCCGATTGTGCAAGATACACTTCCATCCATCAGTGATTGCACGCACCTGTGAGTGGGATTTATTCCATGTGAAATCCACTCGGGTGAATAAAAAATACAGTTTTACTATCGGAGACAGAAAATACCATCTTTGCAGTTCAGAATATGTTGAAAAGTATAATTACCCCATCACATTTCCACATAGGGAGCATATCGATACCCATGGTTTGGTTCGAGTGGTTTTCAAATCTTACATGGACAGGAAATGTTCGAATTTTGCGTCAGTACTGATGGTGGAAAAAGGAACATTTATTTCTCAGTGTCTGCTCTGGAGTCCATGTCTTACTCCATCCATTCGCATAGAATTTGCTTATTAGACCATCAGTTTTCGCCATGTACCCCATACATGGAAACCTTTTTCTTTACTTTTAACTACACATGCGTTGCACATATCACGCTGTCGAATCTTCGCAAAGTTTACTCACAAAATTGGGATATCGGTCCTGAGAGATGCCGAGGTTTTTGTGCCCGTTTTCCGCTGCCGACCTCGCTACACATTCCAGTTACTTACACCACCGCTTCGATAGGGGACACTAACGGGGTGTGCTGGTTTGCGTACCTCCATGACCCATTGCGCCACACTGTGTAGCACTTTCCAAGCGCCTTCAGAACCAGTTATACTAGACAGCTCAATGGATAGGGGTTAGACTAACTCCGTCTCATAACCCAATCCTTTTCGTTGGTTAGCGAGAACTCGATGGCCCTCTTCCCTTATGATCTGACTGTTTGATGCCTCAAATTTATGTTTTATAAGCGCACAGTTCGATTGGCGTGAGGCTTGAGTACCATGCATCGTCTGTGACGCTGGGAGGGCAACACCCGCCTCAAGCCTGACAGCCCCTGGTGAAATTGATGCAAACTCGCCGATTCCCACCCGTGACTGTTTGTCTTTATCGCTTGTAGTCTGTTCTGAAAGTCAAACTTGAAAACGCGTTACTGAATGATCTCAGATAGAAGAGCGCATGTCTTCCCACTTGCTCGTAATCAGGTGATTTCGTCTAAAATTAATTATAGCTTCTTAGGTATCCGAATCGCACATTGAAACCTAACAACTGATTGACGGATGAACATTGCGTAATCTCAAACACGATTATGTCGCATTTTCTCGTGTTGAAATGCCAAAATCAGCAATGTTCAGGGATGAACTAAGCACTTATTTCGTAGAGATCAACGGCTTTCGGGACCAAGCCACAAGGTTTCCGGATCGTAGTGACTACCTGTTCTATATGTCAAAGCATCACATTCCGAGATTATGTACTTTGCAGTACTGCAGTATATTTGCCATGAAAAGTGACCGAAGTTCGACGGTGATCGACGAGGTGGTAAGTGTCGGCCGGTGGCCGAGTGGTCTGCACGTTTGGTTTGCAACCATAAGGTCACCGGTTCGAATCCGCGTATGGGTGGACGTCCTCGCGGTATACTCAGCCCGCACGCGACTGGTGGTGGTGGAGCGGCAGCGAAGCGCCGTTACGGCGTACAGCTGACACAGTCACTCACTGTAAGTGAGGTTATATGTTCCACTACATAAGGTCCATACCTATCTGTATACTGTGCACTCACTGAGCATCTTACCATAACCTCCGACATTCATCGAAAAACACCAAACACGCTTCACTGACTAACGTCACCATGTGCTCATTTTGATCGCATTTTTTTAATCTCCTTCAGCCATGCGATACACGTGTGTTGATCTAATTTTGGAAGCGATGCGCTTCAATCCGTCATGCGTGGAACGTGACTTGGTTAGCGAAATCGATCGTGTGATGCAGTGGGCTGGGACCGGGTTTGCTGCCAACCTTCTCAACTTGTTCGAGGACCGATGGCACGCAATTGCATCTGCGACCGGTTCTTCCACACCGGACTCCTTGAGCACTCGTCACCAGCGTCTTATCACCGATCTGATCCGGCACATCAATTGCTTGTTGGCCTATGGGGAATTTTTCAATCACCCGTCCAAGCTAAAGGAAATGCTGGCACTTCACAACCTTCGCGTAAGTGTCGACAGGTATTTTACTAACTGACGGGTTGTTTATTACTTTCAAATTGGAGCAGTGGTTTAGTCGCCACTGGCCACTGGCGACACTGTTTCAACTCCTTTGTCCATCACTGTTGTGACAGCGTGCATCAGATAGACGAACTGCGTCCACCAAGTTTCAGTCCTAGTCACGAAATTTAACTGGACGTGTCATTAGTCAGCCTGCATATCTGGACAGCTTGACAACTTTTTGTTGTTGTTACCTCACTGAAACGGTCATTGCACGCCCTGCTAAAGCTACTGTGACTTTTAAAAACCTAGGTCCCTTAGAGAGACAGTGGAATGTAAAAGTGTATTGGTCATGAGAAGAATCTACAACGCTGTAATGCTGCTGTACAGCTCTGAGACCTGGACGCAACTTGCTGATGACATCAGGAGACCTAACGCATTTGATCACCACCGCCTGATAAGTATGAATCACATTTGATGAGAAGAGATCAACCTTGGTAATGCCGAGGCTGGTCATTAGGGTGCCCTGTGGAATTTGAATCGCATCCGTTGGGTAGGTTGTATGCTCCACATGTCAGCGAACCGACTACCTCGGTGACGGTGTTTAATGTGTGCTTTTGTGGTTGAAACCCGGAGATAGTCAGAGTCAGTCAATACCATGACAGTACCTCACTGATGTGCTGAGAGTTGGGGGTTGGTGTTTGTCGCATGGAGCCCTCAGGAATCGCCACATCAGTAGTTGTGGATACTTTGCGGAATATAGCAGTGTAATCAGCTTAGTTGTGCTCTTACATTCCTTCATTCGCTTCGGATTTTTGACTATTCCATCTTAACATCGCAATTGTCATTCATACTCTGTTAATATTACTGTGATTGGAACAATGGAACAATGGTTTATTACGGGTAAAAAAGCATCGCTTAACAAGTCCCGTGGGATGGAAATTATTTTGAAAATCAATTGCATAGTAAAGTGAAAAACGTTGTATTGGACTCACCATAGACATGTGGAATAGCGGAGATGTTCACGTGTTAAACGTATAAATCCATCAATCCATTGGTTCGGCGTTTGGCAAGACACCGTTTGATTGCGTTTTGTAGCCCCTGGCTAACAAGTCATAAAATGAAATGTAAGTGAGACAGTGCATCGTCAACGCGTTTTATAAATATCGCCACATTGGGAGCAGAGACGACATAATTAGGGAGGGCGTTCCAAGGCTGGCACACGCGGAGAGAAAAGAAATTTCTACGGCATTCAAGCCGGCTATACTGAAGTGTCAGTTTCAGAGGGTGACCTCTTAGTTTAGTGTTGTGGTCCAATTCCAACAGCGGACGGCAAATGTGGTTTGGGTTCTTCAGAATCTGGTAAACCATTATGAGATCCCCCCGCAAAAGCCGATATCGACTGCTGTACATTCTTAGAGATTTCAGTCTAAGCTGATAGGGCAGATGAAAGAGGCCTCTGACGTTCTTGGTTGCCCGTCGTTGAGGAGTCTCGAGAGCAACGAGATCATGTTTCTGCCACGGCTGCCACGCCTGAATAGCATATTCTACGTGAGGTCGCACGTAGGCGTTAAGCATTTGGGGAAATATTGAGGGTTCAAACCGACCGAACGCTCTGCGAAGAAGGCCGAAGTGTTGATTTCCGGTTCTCATCGCCTACTCTGCTTGTTTTGAAATCCCGAGATCTTCCTGTACCAATACACCCAGGTCACGCTCCTGAGAAACCTTCACCAAGGTGTGGTCTCCAATCTTGTAACCGCTCACCAGCTGGTGACGCAGATGCATCACTTTACACTTAGTCATGTTCAATTGAAGCTTGTTCCTCTTTGACCATTCGTAAACGCAATCTAGGTCATGTTGAAGCAGATCGTGATCTGGCTTGTTACTAATCGACCCCCACATCTTGACGTCATCGGCGAAAAGCAGGAAATTTGAGGAGATGACTATTGCCAAGTCGTTGATAAACACCATGCTTCGCATTTCGACTTTTGACGACGGGAACACTGCTTTCGTAACAACGATGTTAGCCGTCGTATCTTAGCTAATGCGGACCTCCCTTTTGACAAACTAGTGCGGCTGTGCCAACTGGGGTGGCTAGGTCACGTCCTACGCATGCCTTACGAGCGTTTGCCACGCCGCACTCTATTCGTTCGTACAAAATCGCACTGGAAAAAATCGCGCGGCGGTCAACTTCTCGCATGGCGACAAAGCGTCAAGGTACTGACTTCCTGTCTAGCTGTTGATGATCTCATACGTCTTCCAGGTTGGGGAATCAAAGATGAAGAACACCACTGGTTTGAAACCCTTCACGACATGACGCCGAATTGGACACAATGGAAGATTTGCATAAATTTATGCATTGATTCTATTGAGTAACATCGCTATAAAATCCCACACCAATCGCACACTGATTCACCTGGTCTGACGAAGCTCTTGTGTCGAGGGCGAAACGTTACCAAACTACTATACCAACCGATTGTTTCCAAACCTCTCTAAACCCGCAATCATTAGTTTGGCAAAAAAGAACAAAATAGCGTGTAAAAGAAACCAGAAGACACTATTTTATCTGTTTTCTTCTGTGTAGTTTTTTTGCAATAACACACATGTTTATTGCGTGGTTTTCGGTGGCTCTATAAACAGTTGCCATTAAATAAACGAACGTTTATTCTCGTTTAGACCGCCATAATATGGCATAATCAGCGATTACCTAACGAACATTAACGTAACCCTATGTTGGTTTGCATCAATTTCATGAAATACATTGCAGGACTAATCTCTAGTATGCTGTAGCACAAATATCAAGCAATCGGCGCAAAGTGAAACATCCTCCTTAACAAAGGTTTCTTCATGGCGCACAATTTTTAAGTGAATTACGCATTAAGTTTTTTTGCGGGAGGATACATGTAACTGGATTTTACGGCGTTTTGCTTAGTCAGAGGTATAAAATATAGTCATCATATTAATTCTTAAGGACTTTGAGAGCCAACTGTCGTGGGGCAACCAGAAGATAAACATAACAGCACTTAAGGCTTATTGCTAGTTTGTAGAAACTTAGTCAGCTAATGTACTGCATCTTCACGTTCGGGACTGTCCATCAATGAAAGCCGTGTGTATTATCCATGTTTTGGAATGGATCCACTTGCATTATACACTATATGTAACCTTTCTGTCGCAAAATAATCAGGTTGTTCCAAATGCGTCAACTGAAGTGATCATGAGTTTCGACGGCATAATGTAATATAATTGTCATATGATGTTCTCTTCCATCTGTGTAAAATGCAGTGGGTGTTCGACCTAAAATACAGAGTACACTGCAAATAGATTGTGTTACGCGTATGGCTTGTCACTGCTAGCTAGAGTGATCCCGATCGTTCAACTTTCGCTACTCACAAACTGATTGTTAGCGCGCTGCGCGAGGAAGATAGGCGATTCTGGCTACCTCGCTTCTTCAAGAGTTTCATAGTGGCTTCACCCGAATGTATATCTGTAAGCATGAAAATTCGTTTTTTCGATCTGGATACGGCGATTCATTTTTCATGCATTTTTCATTTTTGACACATTTCGCATGCTAACACCTAATCGTCAGACATTTGGGTGAACATTGTCGAATTGTGTAGTTGAAACAAATCAAACGCGTTTGTGCGCGGCGGAGGTACTGGCCGAGAGGGAGTCGCAGGCAAGTATGTAATGAATCGCCCCATTACCCAATTTAATGGAATCTCAACCAATAACTGGACATTGTTGCTCGGAAAATTATCCATTGGCGAGTTAGACAGTGCAGAGCGTCGTGGTTAGGTAAACACCGCATCAGCAATACGCTGGTACACAGTACCGACGCTTCGCTGACGTGCACCCACCAGTAGCCGCATGTGGGCTAAGGATACTGCGAGAGTCGCTTGGTCCCTACGCAGATTCGAACTCGTGCCCTCGGATTACAAGGCAAACTTGTGATCCTTAAGGCTATGGGTCAGTGGTAGGCAATCATAATGCTTAAGTTGATCTGAAGACTCGCATAGTTGGGTGTGACAGTTCGGACCGCAGTACATTTCCTTCTGTGGGGCATACTGTTGGTTGATGTTTCTCACCAGCGACGTGCGTCTAGTTTGCATGGTGACTGAGACTGTATTTAAGAGCAAGTAGAAAGGTTTCTGTACAACTCTATCGAATTATTAAATATCAACAACATTTAATTGCGAATCGTTAGCACTAGTGTTTGTTTGATCAATTACTCGTTTATTCTTGTTCGGTTAGCAATTCGTATTGGTTTCCTTATTTCCGGGTATAGAATGTATTTTTTACCTTGTATATGCACCGTTTCACAAAGGCACAGGTTTCCGAAATAATCCTCTGTATGTGTTTTAAAACACTTCACAGAATCGGTCTCTATTAGTCCTTCTAATAGTGTATTCCATAAGTGTACGATTATTCTTTCTGTACAAAGCTGATATGATACCTTGTTCATACGACGAACCCGGATTTTGTGACGGTGTCCTTGCGTGCTACAGGGTTCCCGCAGGTGAAATATTGGCCGCAGAATGGGGAAGTGATTTAAGTGTAGTACTCGATGGGTCATAATAAGGTCAATTCTTACTCGGCGGTAGGATAGTGTGTAGAATCCGAGCCTTGCACAACGTTTTTCATACGGAAGCTTTCGCAGACTCGGTATTATTCCAGTTGCGATATGCTGTATTCGCTCCAGCTTTTCAGTTTCCCACTGGGTTATCGGATGGTAAGCTGGGGCACCGTATTCAAGGATTGGTCTAATGAGCGAGGTGAATAGACGACGGACGGTTTATTCGGACCATGTGAAAAAACTGCGTCTTAATGCCCAGAGCATACGAAGTCCCGCACGGTACAACTTCTCTGCATTTTCAAGTCATCTCATATCATGTCGCGAGAGAACTCCTAAGTCTCTGACAGATGTGTTAGGGTGGAGCACCTGACTGTTCAAGATGTATGATCGAGTGGCTGGACGTTTGGTGATACTGATGAACTCCGACTTGATTACGTTAAGAATAAGTTGCATTTCAGTGGACCACGTTGACAGTCGATCTAAGTCATGCTGGATGCGAGCGCAGCCCTGGTTCTCAATGGTTCTCCAGATTTTCAAATCATCTGCAAGCAGTTCGCATGATGACTGGAGCTGCTGCGGAAGATCGTTGATATGAATAAGCAATAATACTGGCCCAAGTACAGTTGCTTGATGCACGCCACTGGTCAATGGAAACGAGTCTGTCAGGTGGTCATTGAATTGCACTATAAACTCGTGTAACCACTGAAGTAGCGTGCCACCGGTTCCTAGGTCCTCAGTTTATGAAGGAGTACCTCGTGGTTCACTCTGTCAAACGCCTGACTAAAGTCAATGTACACCACGTTAACGTCCTTCTATTCATTGAGAGCTCGTACCCACTGGTGGTTTGCGTACATCAAGTTGGTGATGCAGGATCGCTGTTTTGTAAAGCGTGTCGCGCTGGTGTCAATACGTCCATCGATTCGAAGAACGACAGCAGACACTTTTTCACAACCTTCAAGAGGACTTTGGATATTTTCGAGGTAGAATTTTCTCCAAGGTAAATATGGCTGAGCCCGATTGTTCAGCGACAAAGGATATTCGATTCGTGGAGACAGTATTCCAATATAAGGTGAACCGGGCAGTCAGCATATCACTCTTTCGACAATCGAAATATAACTTCCTCGTTTTAATGACAGACCATGGCCCAGCTAAGTTCGATCGCTCCACATTCATCGCATATTGGGGCACAGATCAATTAAACTGGTTGAAAATTATTTCCCACTGTTCACTCTCATTTCCGGAGGTTGTGCGTACCGTGCGTGAGGATTTAAAAAAATATCAATTCGCTTCCTTTCCACACTTTATTGTCTCTCCCACTCGTGTTTTTAAAGGCGGTCTACGAACGAAACGGCCGCACAGATATGGTTCTTCGATACTTGTACCGGTTGGAGAATTTGCACGCGGAGATGGGCAACGCTATTGAACGGGGCTACACTTTGGAATTGATCAGCAAACAGTATTCAGTGAGTTTAGTACTCTATCTACTGTTAGCTTGGATCTGGTTTCATACAGTAGTGCTTAAGTATCTGAAATTACTTACCCAGAATTCTTCCGCGGACTCCTCCAGTTTTCACTGCACATGACACTTACTTTGATTTTCGAACGTGAACACATCATCATCAGTATTAACCAATATACGCATTAGCTAGAGATGGAAAACAGCTCAGCTCTTGTGCCGCAATACATAAGAAAAAATGAAAAAATTAACTAAGACACGGTGGTGACACATCGTTCCGGAGAGCTTACAGCCGGCTACCGTGCCGCAAAAGGTTATATTATGCGTAGTAGATGAGATCGTGATTGGACGGGGAGGCTAAGCGGGAGGAGAAAGGACAAAGAAACTTAAACGCAAACGCCTCTGAAGTCTGCTCCTCGCCGTGTCAACAAGCGTATCCAGCCAAACGTACTTTTCGTCTCTTGGAACCCAACCAGGAAGCCTACAGGCTCCAACCGACGCCAGCTTCCAAGTAATGATCTTTTTTGCTCTTAACCAATTCATCGATTGGCTACCCCTCCTTTTCTTCCATCCGCACACCCTGTGCGCAAACAGCGCTTGTTGCGGGAGTCGGTGGGTTGGCATGCGCAACACGAGACCCATCCATCGGAGCCTGGTGCGTGATATAACGGTGCCGAGCGGTTCATTCTTCTTCTTCCTCTGCCATTAACGAGGCGTCGAACAGACTCATTGCTCACACGGTGTCCCCATCAGATATGAGCCAAACTGCGAAGACCCCGGTGGTCGAACGTAAGTAGCCTCTTTATGTCAGGTGATTTAAGGCGCCAGGTTTCACAACTGTTCAGCAAGGTCGCAGGTACGCCTGAATTGTACACTCTACCCTTTAAGAAGGGAATGATGTCGCACCGGCGCTATAAGTGGCGAAGGTTAGCAAAAGCGCCTCGAGCTTTTGCTGTACGTTTTGTGATCTTGTCTTCGATTCCACCGGCGGTAATACAACTTCCCAGATGAATTTCTGAACGGCTTCTATCTGATCCTCACCAGGTGTCAGCGCAGGAGGCGGTCCCTGCTATTCGTAGAGGAAAACTTTGCACTTTGTGGATGCAAACCAAAGGCCGAAACAACTGACAATCAGTGCTGATCTGTCACAGATGTGAGCATTGTCAGCGCTTCATTGCGTTTCTTTATTGTTTCTGCTCTTTTGCCGCCGTATACATACGGTGGGAAACATGCTGAATTGTCATCTTAAACCTGCAAATAGCAATTCGTATTTCGTCTAAACTTACTCTCTGGTTCCATTTATTGGTACTACATTCTGTTCACTTACATACGTCTTTTACGTATGTATCCTGCAGTAAAAAGGGTTTTGTCGGTGCTCACAGTATCCCGTTCGAATAACTAGTGGTACTGTTCTGTTTTCAGTGCAAATCAAGCAGTTCCGCTCCGTACGAATATTATTACCCTCAGCATAGAGTGAAGATTTTTGTTCGGTATGTGTGAAATCGACTACCGCAGTTAGTTCCTCCCCGTTAATTCACGGAAACCAAGTAGCCAATTTGTCTGATGACATGTGTTACTTGCTGGTTGTTGCTAACGTCAAAATAATTTGGCACCACGCAATCTCACTTGGAGGCCACATTTTGCTTTGCTTTGGCCTCTGCCATCTCGATTCACGCATCAGGCTCCGATGGTTGGGCCACGTTTTGCGCATGCCAGCCCACCGATTTCCGCGACGTGCGTTGTTTGCGCACCGGAGGTGTGGATGGAAGAAGAGGAGGGGCGGCCAAGCGATGACTTGGTCAAGAGAAATGAAAGCCCTTAGCTCGAAGATGGCCTCGGTTAGAGCCTCTCGGCTCCCTGCTTGGAGACCGAAGAACGAGGGTCACGTTTGGTTGGATACACTTGTTGACGTGGCTAGGAAAAGACCACAGTGCCGTTTGTGTTGTGAGTTCCTTTGTCCATCCATTTCCGCTTAGCCTCCGCCTCTAACCACGCTCTCAGTTAATAGGCATTAGATAACTTTATGCGGCGCAGTAGCAGGCAGTTTGCTCTCCGGAACGATGTCCATCCGTTACTGGGGACTCAACCGGTGTGCCTCTTTTTCATGTTTTTCTTTTTGGGCACAATAGCTGAGGTGTTCTCCACCTACAGCTAGCGTGTATAATGATGATGGTGACTGCCATCTCGATTACTTCGTTTGCATGCAACTTGGGGAGTATTAGGAGGGAGCAGCACTGAAACTCTCCACTTCGGATACGCATCCAGTGCCCAAAATGTCAGGCTTACTTCAAAGGCAACCGAGAGCACAGTCGAGGTTGCGTGTCGCAATCCAAGATGCATGGGTGCTTTAACATCCGATAATCAACTTCCCATCGCTGTGTTATGCGCTGTTTGCCGAGCCGAATCGTCTCTTGATCATGGCACTACTCGTCAACCACTGTGTGCCGAGCTCTCAGCTCAGATTATCTCTACCTGATGAGTCCAAACAAGGATGAAACGCGTCTCGGAGTATGGTGAAGGTAGAGAGCAAGAACGAAACTCTCCACTTCGGATGCGGTCCCAGTGATGCACATGACATAAGTTTGCTTGAGAGCAAACTTAGCCTCAAACGAGATTTCGTCTCCTTATCCAGACACAGCAGGTACTCCAAAATCCAATAATGAACTTCTAACCGCTGTGCCATGCGCTGCTGTGGAGCTCTGGCCTAGTGGCCAAGAGGAAAGTCCTCAATCACTGTGTTGCGCTCCCCTCTCAGTTCAACCTAGCTCTACCTGACTACTCCAATTCAGAACGCACCGGTTGTGGTGCCCCGCAGTGTCGGTACAGCCAGAAACACCGAAACCCTCCAATTCTGCATCAATTCTCTGAGTTCGTGCACTCTGTGTCAGTTTCTCTGTTGTTTTGTTCTCTTTAAGTCCTCATCCTTCACTATGCACGTTAGCTAGAGTTTGGAACACCTTAGCTACTGTGCCACTATCTGTCTTCTCCATCGCCGTTTCACAGTGGTCCGAAGAGCCAGTGGACCGGAGTCATATACCTATTCGGTATGACCGCTACGCTGCGGCTTCTTCTCGCGCCCTTCGCGAGCGTCTGCTTCGCGATAGTTTGGCATGTCTGAAGAAAGGTACCGATTGGGAACGTGCAATCGATGTTTGCTCCGAGTTGGCGGAATTGTATCGTTCAGTGGCCCCCAACTTCGCGGAGTTGAGTTCCATTTTGGTAAGTGAGATTCAAGAAGTATTGTCCATTGATACTCACTTTGGAATAATTACCTCGACGTCATAGCTTTATCTATGAGTAATATTTTCACTCTTTATTCGAACGTTTCAACAATTTCGGAGTGTCTCATTGTCATTGTAGAAACACAGAAACCGTGTTTCAAATGCGTTCGTTACGTTGTAGTACTTTATCGTTTGCGGAGGTTTGCCGTAATCCCGATGGAGACAACGTTTCTAGACTGCTTATCTTCTACAGCTCCTGTCCTTACAACACGTGGCATGTGATCCGTAGCAACAGTGCTTATGAACAGGGGTCCTTAATCAAACCTTTATTTAATCCACTGCAATAAGTAACTAAATTATTTCTGTAGGTCTTGACAACGCAGGACGCTGTCCACTTATCCTGACTACATCATCATATACGTTTTTCATTTTGACACAATAATGTAAACATATTGTTTTTCCAAGCGCGAGGAATTTGATTGCATTAGCTGCCAGTTATAAACCCAAACATTCATCCAAAACCCCCTTAGACGTTGACCATGATCATTATAGTGGACCTTTATATGACGAATTGCAGCGTCGGAATTCATAGAGTGGGGGTATGATACATGTAAGTGGATCGTAGTTTAAGCAGTTTATGGGGAATAGCATTAAGAGCGTGAATTTATACAAAACTGAAATTTGTAAAAGATGCTAGCAATCGTGTGCACAGACCGTACAGCGTATTCCGTCCAGTATTAAAAAAACGCTTTAGTAAACAATATCGATAGTTGGCGATCTGAAGACGCTTTAGCAGATACACGGATACACGTAGGTATTACCGCGATAAAGTTAATTGGAATCACTAACCTAGCGAATGCACAGTGCTTTGAACGTGCGTATAGGAAGTGTTCAAGCTGTGGAATTCAAGGGCCGTTCAAGATATATTAAACCGGATCTAATTGCCCATCAACAACACGTCAGTGGTTCCATTAGCGAGTGTTGTACCTACAACAGACAAAAGTATCATGGCTTTGAAGGAACAGGGAGTTACTGAGATTTCGGTGTCCACTAAACCAATCTGCTGGTGATTCTACTGGCATTGAAGCCAAATAGAACCAAGTCGAAGATGAACTTAAGCGGAGACATAACAAGCCTTGACTGTGCAATCCGCCACAGAGCTGCCAGTGGATCCACTAGTTTTTGATCTAGGTAAAACTGTGGATAACAGAAGAGTAAGGTGAATTACAAACTGACAGCTGGCTTCGACTCTAGATCCGTTGTAGCTTTTGGGCCTATATTACCTCGACTTTGCTCATACTCTTGGTACATAGTTACAGAACAGTCCAGTTGTGAGTGTATTGCTGTCAGGTCTTTCCTACCTATCTTACGATATGCTAACACGAGTGTTAGCCGGCAATTTGCCCCCTATTCCAGGATGTCGATCCGAATCCACGTTTACCGCTATGCTTATATTTTATTTTTCTCGCTACAAAGTTTCATTTATTACGTGTGTCTTACGCATCAGGTTTATGCGATGACGTCATGGCTATATTGCGTCTAGCTAAGGTAGTTCACATTGTTCAGGGTAGCATATCGTTAAAGCGACTATGAGACACTTAGTACACGCTGGCTAAAGTACTTTTTCCATTTCGAGTTATTATTATTATTATTATATACCATCGAGCACTATCCAACTAAAGAACTGGGAGGTATTTCTGCATGGTAATACGGTGCACTACCTTCACCCGGCTGTTGTGTAACACGCGGTTTTTTGACAATGTTAAGGGCAGATGACTAATGGCGAAGCCCTGGATCACTCACTCATGGGGTGCGGTACAGGGTAATTAGTCTTTCACATAGGCTCGGCACATTATGCTTTCTTATTGCATTTGACAGTCGCAAATGACCCTTATCAGGTCGTACACCATGTGCATTTAGCTTGAGCTGAATCTTCATTAGAGTATTACTGCGGATGACAAGATGAACGCTAAGGGGGATACATTTGATTTGACTGAAGATGTCGTTCACATTATGATAGAAACAGCTTTGGACCAGAAATACTACCTCATATAACACCGTTGATAGCAGGCTTGTGTTGAGGTGCCTTTTGCCTCTGTTTCCCATGTGTGACCAGAGATACGAACTTAATCAAAGCATTTACACTCTTGGTCTGAAGTTCAACTAGGAGGCGCTTATGAGATGCTCCATCATAGATCTCATTTATGCCGAGGTTATGTGAATTGATAGCCTGATTAGAAAATTCTTGGTGGCACATTATGCACAGGAAACGATAAGAACTCGACGATCTTCACCTTTATATGACACCAAAGAGTGAAGCTGGCTTATGACGTGCCACCCGCATTGCGCCAAAATGTATGTTATGGGCCAACTGATTCAGCAGTGTACCTTGGTTTCCGACGTTTTTTAAAGACATGTAATACGTTGTCGGTAAAGGACTGCGTTTAGAGTGCCCCGTGTTTTCACTGTTGTTGAGTGAAGGTCTATGGCAAGCTTTTCTCCTACTTCGTTATCAGTAGGGGTGTGCGACAGGACTGCCCTATCTCCCCATTCCTCTTCAACTTCGCAATCGAGGACGCCCTGTCGAGGGCTCCAACTTTCCAACTTTCTGTCCTTAGACTTCTACCGAGTGAGCGCTCCACCGACTCAGACTATGCTGAGAGTATATATATATATATATATATATATATATATATATATATATATATTAACCCCGGTCTTAAGGGCGGATATGGGGCTAACAAAAACATGGGAATCAAAGGAAAGAACACAATGAGCAAAAATGAAGGACATCCGATTTCGGATTTGCCTGTCACTGTGGCCACCCACAGGACACCTGCGCCTGCAGAGGGACCATAGGTGGCTTGCGCTGCACCGTCCACGGCTCCATCCACACACCCCATATCCAGTGTAAACCCGAAGGAATAAGACTGAGAGACATGTTTATAGGAGCCACGTTTCATCAACGGAGCCGGCCCACACTGCTTCACAGGCAAACACAAGCACGCTGTATTTGGGGAATCAAGCGCACACAAAACGGTGGCTGGACCGTGGTCCACTCCACACTGAGTGCACGAAGCCACTCTTCGAGCCTAACACGGCCCAAAGGACCGTGCACCCTGTCCCTTCTAGCAACGACCAACTGTCTCTTGGAGCCAGTATGGACGAGGTAGTGGGTAATAGACAGATAGGCAGCTTGTCAACATGCACATCAAGCGCAGCCACGCGGGATATAAATATAAATATATATTTATATATATATGTCTGAATTGGTGAAATTAAGAGGTTTTCCTCTGCTTTTTGCCCTGTGTATGCTGCGGAGTTCGAAACGGATAATTTTACGTTGGTTACTTGCGTAACCCGACTGCTCCGTTGAGTTATAAACATTACTTTGTTGAAGAAACAGTTATCGACAATTCGCCTCTGTAAACTACTGCAACATCCGCTTTGTTCTCTTGTTTTGTTGAACGTGTGGTGTCCCTATTCCTGCTTGTACTTTTTCGCCTCATTCGCTTGAATGTCTCGCCTTTCCTCTCCTGGCTATTATTAAGCGCCACATTTTCATTGGTAATTCCCTTGACATGACGGGTCAACTCCATAATCATAACCATGCCATGTTGTTGTCCTTAGAAAGATAAATCACCACATTTACCCTTAGCCTTATATAGCTTTTTAAGCTTTACAGTTAATGTGTGTTGCGTCGACTTCTATCTTTTTTATTAACCCTTTATACCTAATAAGAGCCATCCTATTATTAGAGCGGCAAATATTGTTTTATAACTTGTCTGCTGCATTCGTTGGATCACTAGGATGTGTTCCATTGGACGCTTGCAATCAATGTGACAAGCAGGCCCAAGTCAGCTGTTTTACAGGTCCCGAAAACCACTTGTTTTAGACAACTCTGCTTTTGTTAGAGGATGTTAATACTGAATGAGAATTAGTTCGCCTTGCCGAGGAATTGTGCCAGAACTGCGTCGAGAGATACTGGTAGATCAACGGTAACGATCAGCTCCAGAACATAATTTTTTCTACTGTGAGACTTGATAACTTGAGTCCATTCATACAAGTGTATAGCGGAGACGAAGTTTGTATGCCCCGAATAGCATGGGAGTTATGGATTGTTGATGTTCATCCTTCATTATTATCTTACAGTTAACAAATGAGTATCCAGTATGACAGCACTCTTTGTAAGGCATTTGTGTGAGCCGTATTGGGGTTTACTTGTAGACGCATGCGTCATCCACCTGAAGATACCAGTCAACTCAAGTCAAGATAAGCTTTTTACACCTGTTTGGAATCTTCGAAGCACTCTTGTAATCGAATTACGTCACCGAAGCTTAATTAGCTTGTGTACATAGATTGTACAGCCTCCAACGCTTATCTAAGATTTGCCGTAACCCTTCAATGTTTCTGTGTCTCGAAATGTGACAGATTGACTTAAGTATGTGTTCCCCCATTAATCATGTTTTTATAACTTGTACGTTGGGGATTCAAGAGGCAGATATTTCTGACCGTGAAAAGTTGATTTATGAGGGGTAATGCATCTAGCAAAAAGAGAACACATCTGGGATGTTGTTGGCGTGGCAGATTCAGAATCTGTGAAAGCAGTGAGTGCCATGCTTTTACTGAAAATGATTGGGTGGCACTAGTGGAGACGGCGTGTGGTAAATTCTGTAGTTTTATCCATAGTTTTCGAAAATGAGCAAAAGTCTTGTTCCAACTTGTTGGAGAAACAGGCACCTTTCTGTGTTCCTAAAAAGGAATGGGAAGGTTAGGGGCTTTCGGTGTTGTTCCCTCTCAACGCGAGCACCACACGACCGGATTCGTCCTGGTTTGGATTCATCAGATGGAGATGGCCTAAGCTGAGATTGGAATTTAGGGCCTAATCGTTAACGCTAGATGCCTTGCTCACTTGGATCCCTGTACAACACGTGTTCGGGGAGAGCAACACCGAAGATTCCCCACTTCGGATATGGTCCTGTTGGTCGCATTGACCGA